TCAACAAGACGGAATTACCGGGGGAATTTATAGCAAATATTAAACAAAGAATTAGGACAATCGACCAAGATTTGACTATAAAAACAACCAGAGAACCTCCACATAAACTACTTTCCCACGCCTGCACACATAGCCGAGGATGGAAGTACCACGGAACAAGGATTCCTTAGGAACTAATGCAAAATTCAAAGTCGTGTTTATAATATGAAATGTAGATGTCTCCCAAATGGACCCGATGAAAGTAATTACAGGGAAAACTACCCATAAACGATGGAGATATGACCAAAACTCTCGGGAAATGAGGACAACGTTTAAAAGCCAAGTGCAAAGAACAAGCAGTAACGACCGAGACAAGCTTGATAGCTCATTAGAAAGGAAGGGATCTAATCTTAATCCACCCAAATTTTCATAATAAAAGGATCACACATCAATGAGATACCCAATAACGGGAAGAGCGACATCAAAAGTCTGGGCTCAGGGAAAAGACGACGTTTACGTAGGATCCATATTTAAAACACACCACGAAATTTACACGGAAATTATGATAAATAGGAAACTATAGTTATGCAAATTTTCAGCCCAAACGGTCCAGCCGTTGTGAAGTTATACCAATGACGGGAATATAGAAATCTGTCAGGGCACACACCCTGACTAGCCCGGACCCGAGCCCGCATCCGGACCCGCGTCCACCCGCTGCGCTTCCCGCATCCGTGCACACTCCATGTGCCACATGTTCCGGGCCCGGTTCCCACCCCCTCATGTCACTTCCGGGTATCCCCAGAAGTTTGCCTGATATTGTGGCCACTGTGGGAAGATGAGAAGTTAGCTTCCTTCTCATCTTCTTACCCACAGTAGGTTGTGCCCTGGATAGGGCTGGTTACACCTCAGGGCTGTGGACCATAGGGGAGGTGTCAGGGTTCAGCACCCTGCCCTAGGGTGCCCCAGACTCCCCAACCAATCCCTTCCTTCCATTCCTTCATTGTTGCCTTTCTGTGTTGTGTATCCGCGCGCACGGGATAGCGTGGGAATTTTCTGAGCAAGCAGCTCGCCCAGAATGTTCCCACGGGTCACAGCCACAGTTCTGGGCGAGCAACTCGCCCAGAACGTTCCCACGCTTACTGGGCACTGCCACCTGGATGTTCCCTCCGGGTCACACTACACAACTCTAAGAGCTGTATAGTTGTGGGCATGTGACCCATTCCTTTATATAGCAACCATGCAGGGAGATGAGACCTTTACCCTTCTTCTCATCTCATGCCCCGCATAGGCAAGTGTATATATTATCTTTCCTTTTACTATACATCTCATGCCCCACATAGTGTGAGGACAGGCCAGATGGGGGTTGAGGTCAGGGAGCCTCCGAGTCCGAGGCCGGGCCCTGACAGGAGGGTCATGGGGACCTGGGAGTTGTCCCCTGACAAAATCCACATCATGTTTAAAGACACATGAGGGTGGCAATGCAAAGGGAACCGGCCATCAGAACCGAGATCCGCACTTCGGCAGATCGTGAAGACCAATTTCCATCCAAATAAGGAAGACTCCAGTCAAAACAAAGCACGGAAAGTACAAAACAACCTTAGATCATGAGGGAAAAATCTGAAATAAATCACGGAAGCCCATATAAAGGATACAAACACCCGCGCATACCATAAATCCCAAACAATTAAACAGAAATGGTGCCCACATACAAACGACTATAGGAACGATGCATGTGATTACCAAATGTGTGCGCAAACTTTTGCTAACTCGACGAATACCCAGAAATAAAACACAACTTTAGTACCATTGGAAAGGTGGGAATAAATGAAAATTTATGATACCGAGAACGTGAAAAACCATTCAGAAATGAATGAGATACAAGGACATGAAGTTAGAAACCTGAAAACGCATGGGAAGACAGCTTCTAGAGGTCCAGAGCCCCAAATAAAATACATAAAAATATGATATCTACGAGGACGACCTACTATAACAACGAACAATACATATGGAGGACTAGGATGCAATAATACAAAGGGAAATCAGGGCAGATGGATGAAATCCACGAAAACCACTAAACTACGACAGACCATGGCGGGAATTTTAGGGAACGATATACCAATGAAGCGGAGAGCTATAATACATTCGTTTGAGCAATTCTTGACTACTAGCAACTTTTTCTTTCGGTTTTAAACCTGAATAATTCACTCATTTATCATTTCAAGTCTCATTTCAACTAAATGTTACTGGATAAAAATAGAATAAATCAGCTGAAGGTCTCAGCACAGCCGTATGCATAGTAATGCGAAGTTTGAATTCAGAATGACCAAGTCATAGCGAACTTAATGGTAAATATGAGGAATTTGAAATAGAAAACTTGTCATATCCGTGCATACCCGACCCCTACCCGACTTCCGGACCTCCACCCTCTTCACCTCCGGAGTCATACCCTACCGCTGCCGTTCCGATACTCACCTCCGGTCCTGGCAACACACCTCCTCTCACCCCCCATGCCACCTCTGCTCCTCCTTCCCTCTCCTCCCCTATCTCCGTCCGCTCCGATATTCCCCTCGGACCGAACGCCGCCCCTCTCGCCACCCTCCTACTACTCCTCCTCCTCCTACTCCGCTCCTCCTTCACAACACCTCCACCCTCCCGTCACCCTCCTATGCTTCCCCTGTCCGCTCCGATACTCACCTTCGGACCTGACAACTCTCCTTTCCGCCACTCCCTCTCCCTTACCTTTCCCCTCTCTCCTCCCTCTGGTACTCCTCCGCCACCCTCCCGCCAAGTTACGACCTTCCACCGCTGTCCCGTACTTCGTACTCGGACACCTCTCGTACCTTTGCTCCGAGCCTCCGTCATAGTCCCTACCTCGGACTTTGACTCCACCTCGGTCTTAGTCCATTGCATTGGTGACCTCATACTACGTAAACACCATTGCCAATATCCCTCGGACTTTCAACCCCGCCTCCATAACCTCCGTAAGCTCCGCAACCCCCAAGCTTCGCGGATCGCCTTCGGCACTTTTGCTGCTTGTAATGTATCTCTCGCCTTTACCCCCCATCCCTATTTGGACTACTGCTTCTTCCCATTCTAGCCAGTTAGTCATCATCCCCACTTCTCCTCATCCTCCTGCCCCTCTGGGCCTCGCCCTCCCTACCTCCTTTCGGACGTATCACAGGTCCTACCTTATGACCTTCGGTACCGCTCCGCTTCTTCTACCCTTTGTTCCCGTTCGGACATCTTCGTTCCGATTCGGTACCCTTTGTTTTCCTTGTGCTTTTGCCCCCTCCATTATATATATCGGCGCTTGTACATACTCGTTTTGGTTCAGTCCGAAATCAACTTGAATTCCCCCAAGAGACTTTCCCTCTGCTAGATCCGAAATTAGGGACCCCCAGGACAACCAGCAATGGCACAGCGCTCCGCCTGAGTCGCTGAGGCCGAGGTCCTTCCATGCTAAGTCTCCGATTCCACTCCGGAGTCGTCCGAATCCCCGCGTTCTAACAAAACTGCGACAAATGCAGTGCAGTCAAGTTCTAATTAACTATTAAAATAGCTTAGGCGAGGAAGGACAATAAGGATTCTAGGTGCAGTCTGACCGCAGTAGAGCTGCAGTTCAGTGCAGCAGAGCGCAGTAGAACTATAGTGTGAAATTTTCATTTTTTATTCAGTTTGAGGAAAATACACTGTAAATAAATCCTGTAAATACAAGGTAGAGCATGAAAAAGGAAGGCGACCCAAAGAGTATAAAAGGGAGACCCTTTCTGCGACCTTTCACCCCCTCAGAGAAGTAAGAAAATAGAGTATTATTTTTCTCAAGCATTTCTGGTTGTCACTCCAGCGTGAAAAAGTGATATACAGTTAAGATTGCCACTGTAGTAAAAGGCAGCAATTAAGGAGAGAAATATTAAGTAGATATTTCAACAGGAGAGCTGGTTAACACTCCGGATTTCAGAGTGTGAACGCAAAACAGTTATTTTGCTACTGTTAAAACAAGCAATAAAATAAGACAAAAATAAAACAAACTCAAGGGACACTCCAGACACAATCTAAATCATTAACTGAGTAGAATCTTTGAAACTTCACCAAGTAGAAGATTTAATTCAAGTTAAAATCCAAATTAAACGATCCTACACAGAATTACACCCAGACAAATTGAGAAATTACAATAGAGGAACAGCTCCACAGGGCTTTGTTTATCTGTAAGTCAATTCTCAGAAACTTTTAGACTAACCCATAAAATAGAATTAGCCAAAACACTCGGATTGGTACTATAATTACAACAAATATTACTAGTACACTTCCCCATCCTAACTAAAGAACCAGGGAACAGCTTGGTGGTGGTCTCGTTTGAACCTCCCAACTGACCTTCCTTCGTTCTCTCCTTCAGCATGCATCACCACTCTACCACCCATCCCTTACATGCTCCCTGGCTGAACACCTATAAGGTCATGCTTGACTTCGGCAAGCATGTAGTTCATGTATTTGGAGGGGAAATCCCTTCCTTCAACATTCCTACTGAACAATCATTTGTCTCGACAGGATGACAGGCCTGATGGAAACAGATAGGACTAATCAAAAGGGATAGTCCAAATACTACAAGCAACCATGTGACAGTTGCTGCAAGTTCACAGCAAATGTGACTTGAAAAGGCGAAGAGTACTTTGCCACCCACACAGCCCTCTAGGGAGGAGGAACACCCTGAGGGTGTTTTTGCTCTAAAAAACGTCGCATCTGAAGCATCTGGGGATGCTTTATCCTTCCTGTTGGGCTGGCCCGACCCAAAGTCTGGCCTATTACCAGATTGTCCACACTTGGAACATCGTCAGATGACTGATGATGCCTTTAAACCCCTCCACAAGTGGTGGAGGGATAGATACAATGATGTGATGGTGCCAGCACCTGAGGTATTACCCCCCTTTCGGGAGGTAAATCACAGGATCAACTTGATCAATCCTGATAAACAATATCATGAATGAAGGTTGGCAAGGGTTGTTTCAATGTCCATCCCCATCCTTTCAAGTGGGGGATGGGGGAGCGGCAGTCCCGAGTGCATTAGCTGCAATGGGAGGATCAGGTTGGATACCCTCTCCATCAGGAGGGGGTGGTTCTGGAGCAATTGGGGCGCCTAGAGGCACTCCTGTGGGAACAAATCATTATGATCCACCATCATACTTTTGTTTGTAGCCTCAATGACTATGGGATCAGGCCCTGCAGATGGGCCTGGAGGGTCTCCAGGGTCTGGAGGGGGCAAGGTCGATGTGCCTGGTTCTGGCACATCTTTTGTGTTTGCATTGGGTGGCTTGTCTATAGGCAGCACTGGATCTGGCGCCTGCTGACCCAACACATCTGGGACAGGATCACCTCCTGTCAACACCTCTTTGGGGTCATCCCCAGGTGTAAGGGATGGTCCTTCTGCCTGGGTATCGACCTCACCACATGCAGAGAGGTGTGGTGTGGCTCCAGCCTGATTAGGACTGGAATTAGATGCCAAGGGTGCATCTAACGGCTCAGCCTGACAGGAGCTGAGCTGGCTGTTTCCAGCCATGGGTTTTGGCACAGGAGTGCGCATAGACCTATTGACCTTCCATGGAGCAGAAGGTGTCCCAGCTACCCTTCTAGGTCTCATTCGAAGGTCTGGCAGGTTCGAGATCAGCACGTATCGATGTCAATCAAGAAGCAGTGAAGTTGAAAAGAACTCACCAAGCATAAAAAACTGTAAGATGGATAGTAATCACAGGTAGTATCTGAAGAAATTCAACACTGCTAGCACTATAGACTTATGTCATGAATTCAACTGAGGTAAACCAGGTGACTGGACAAATGACATAAAATGGACAAGCCTGGTATCGAACCCAGGACCTCTAGCGTGCATCCATACACTACTCGCCCGTTATGCCAGGGAGGTTACTCCATCCCTGATGGTTATTCCAACAGTATCTACCCAAAGCATGTAGCTTAGTCATGTTGAGGGCCTGGTTCCCAGTCCATCAAAGATGTATGCTGTAATAAGCTGTAATTTTCTGGGGGAGTAGATAGGCTGGAGAGCTGTTTCTACACCCCACACCACTTTATATACAAGAGTGAATGTACACCAAAGTCGGCATACACATGCAGCTTTGTAAACAATAGACAAGCATGCAAAGGTGTGCTGTTACAATAACTTAAATGAATTGTATATACAAGAATAATCTATTTGAACAAGAGATAAAGGAGCATGCATGGCCTCTCCAGGCCTTACAGCCGAGTTTTAAACAGTGTGCTCCTTCCAAGTGATTTCCCTGGGACCTCAGGTATTCTACTAGGGTGTTCCACTGTAAGATACTGCAATTTTGTAAGGAAGGGATGGTGGGTTTATTCTTTGTTATTCCTTGTTGTGCCTGTGTATTTACATATGTATGGTGTGGAGTTGGGTAAAGGGTTCTTGTCATATCCCAGATCTTCCACCTCCCTCCACCCTAGTCCTAGATGACTCTTATAACCTCCACCAGCCCTCGCAATCTCTCTCTGCTGCTGCTGGTCGATGCCAACGATCCTAGGACTACCTCCTCCTTCAACTCTCTTCCACCCTTCCTCCGATCTGTGTCCACATCACCTCCGGAACTCCTACATTGTTCTGGTAAGTTACTAGAGTACTGACAAGCTGTCAGGAACCTCAGGACATACCTCAACTCTCACTCCTCTTTCCGGACCTCCTACTGTTGAAATAACCACCTCAGTATGGTGTAATGGCTGTGCACACTGAGTTCACGATCCAGAGGACTGGAGTTCAATTCCCAGTATGTCCAACTTTTAGGTTTCCCTAAAAGACCACATGCAAATTCCAACACCTACCTCCGGACCTCCACTACCATACCTCCACCTCCTTGGACCTCTCTTTCAAAAGGATATGGATCTTGGCCACCTACTTGTTGTTGGTAACCCTCAACTTGTCTATCCATCCACCTTCTTACTTCTGGTCTCCACACCTCCAGCACCTCCAGTCATGTACCTCCAGTACCTCCCCACTCCTACCTTACCTCCAGTCACATTATTCCTTATTGTTTTATCATTTGATATTTTCTACAACCCCAATATTCCAGACTACAACTTCCAGGCTCCGGACTCTTCCAGACATCTTCCCCTGTAGTTCCCCTGCTCATTCATAGATGGGCCCAGGCCTTACCATTCAGTTGGTCCTAATTCTCTCACTCCACAAACTTCAGACATAACTCAGGCTTTTCACCTATTCTATATTTGTCCTGTGGAGTCTTTCTATTTACTTCTTCTTCCCCTTGGTTACCTTCAGATCCTGTTACCTCTGCTATATGTACATGTGTACAACTCTAGTAAATAGTTCCCCCCAGTTATAATATTAAGTCCTTGAATCCAAACCCCCTACGATGCCTATCGTGCTCTACTCGCCTGCTGCTCCACCTCGAACCAAGAACTGAGTGACAGACACATCTAAAGGCGCCTTGGTATAAACCTGTAAGGCCATGGGGTGCTGGCCTTGGTGACTCCTCAATCCTCAGGCTGTCGAGAACATAGACTGTATGGAGCTAGTATTTCGACAGGGGGGGAGGAGAAGAGCAGAGCTCCTTTTCCCAACCCTGGATGCTATATATGTACATACAAGTGTTTTACATTGTTTAGTTCGAAGATTATTAGAGAATAAAGAATAAAGAATGCACGCAAAGCACGCCTCATCCATCCCCAACAACCATTCCTTACAAAACCCCAACGAATCGCATGACAAACAATTGACCCTTGCTAATGCCTCCATCATTAAGTAGCAAGGGGGGCACTCCATTCCAAGTCGCTGAAGCCAAGTCCCTTCAACACCCCATCACCCTCAGAGCTCTGACCCACTGTCAGACAACCCAGAACATCGAGCTCCACCAGACACACCTGCCTGGGTAGCGATCGGATCTTCCCCAGGTGGGTTCATGACAGTTCTTTACTGTAAGGAGTGGTAACCCCACCCTTTATTCATTATCTTATTGTATATCTGTCTCGATTTAAACATGTATAAACAATGTATATACAATAACGTGGGAATTTGGGAAAAGGAAGAGAACTCCTTTTCCTCCCCATCATTGATAATTAAAGCTCCATACAGCTCAACTTTATTGACAACCTGAGGATTGAGGAGAACTGGGGTTGGAACCTACACCAATGTCAGGGGACAACTCCCGGGTCCCCATGACCCTCCCCTATGGTCCACAGCCTCTGGTGTAACCAGCCCTATCCAGGGCACAACCTACTGTGGGTAAGGAGATGAGAAGGAAGCTAACTTCTCATCTTCCCACAGTGGCCACCATATCAGGAAAACTTCCGAGGATACCCAGAAGTCACATGAGGGCAGGATCTGGGGCCGGACCATGTGGCACATGGATGTAAGGAGTGGTAACCCCACCCCTTATTTCTTATTGTTTAATGTTTTCATTTCATGGGACTAATCACGGGGCTACGATCAGACCCAACCCAGCTCATGCTGAGGTTTCCTCTGCTCAATCATATCCTGCCACTCCTGTCCTAGCACTGCCCACTCCCCTTTGCCACTCCTACCAATCATGAGTTGCCATGCAACCTGACTTCTCAATGAGCCTAGGTTTTTGCCTCAGCCGTATGCTGGGTGTTCTGGTGCGGATGCGCGGAACAGACCACACCAGCAGAGGTACGTACTGAAACTCCCTCACCACGAGAGTGCTCACAGTTAGTCCAGCCCACACTTATAAAGAGCGCCTGCACCTTTACTTTTCCCCCTCTCTATCACCTAAATTCATGCTGCTCTCGGTGAGTAGGGCCACTTACTGCTTTGTATCCAAACTCTTACTTGTGTATTATCGCTGCTGCCTCTGCTGCTGCTGCTCTCTTGACTCCCGGAATCGTCCATGCCTGCTCAGTAACTTGGCTTGCTTGTTTTTGCACTTCTAACTGATTCTTCGAATATCTTACGGTCACACATGTCTGAACATGCCCAAGCGCAAGCAACAAGTGGTTCGACAGATCCCGAAGTCTTCACGTTTGGTGGCATTGACTTGGAGTGCATTGCAACCGTGCCGTTTGATGATGCACTCCTTGACCAGCTCGACAGTCTCGAATTGATATACTCAAGTCGTTCAATCGGTCTGCACGGAGCCTATCGACGACTGTGGGAACTCCTCAATGGTGCTGCCGACCTCAGCCATGATCAACGAAGTCAACTCGCAGATCGATATGTCGCCCGATTCAATCAATCCGCACAGGCTAGAGAAGAGGCAATCGTTTGTGGAAGTCAGCACCGAATGGACCCCGAGCACTTTGTCCAATCACGAAGCATCAACCGTTCTAACAACCGTACCGCTGCCATCCCTGGTCAAGCTGAACGTACCCTCCCAGCCATTGGAGCCCGCCGACAGCGAGACGATAACGGAGAGGATGAGCGTGGGGGGTCAGCCAAGCGCCTGCAGGAGGTTGACGACGACCATGACGCTCGATATGCATGGAACTGGGACTACCCAGGAGGTAACCGCCCCTGGGATGTCACTGACTTACTTAGCAGCCAACAGAAAACTCGATGCCTGCGAAACATCTACAACCTTGATCCCAAAGCTGCAGTCCGAAGCCTTGCTGCTCACGGACACCCACCAGCTTTCCCTCACACGCTCTGGCATGACCTCATCTGTGACAAGCACATCGACCTTGCCGCTGTTGTTGAGGACCACAATGCTGTTGCACCCTCATACAAAGACTCTATCGACCTCGGTGGTGGAGCCGAGCTCACGCTTAGTAAGTTCAACTCCAAGGGGAAGGCCAAGATTAGGTCACAAGGGGAATGGATACTGGGCTTCACCAAATATAAGCGTGCGCTTCTCTACGCTTACCCGCACCAACAAGAAGAACTTAGCACCTACTACGAGCATATCCTTGACAAGTTCAGCGCCTGCACTAACGAACTCTCTGTCATTAGTTACGACTCAGCCATCCGCAAATTTGTCCAAGAGAGTTACCATCTCTCCTTCACCGACTTCCATCTTTTTGGCGACATCGCCTTCAGACACCTCAGACACCTCGGTGATGTGCCAGGCTCCCTTGGGGACCAATCTCGAGGAAAGGGTAAGCAGGGGAAAAAGATGGGAACCATCCCCATCTGTGGCGAGTTCAACACGAAGAAGGGTTGCTCATATGACCCATGCAAATTCAAACACATCTGTTGGGATTGCCGTGGAGACCACCCCCGTTATAAATGCACAAAGGAACTTGGCCAAAAGATGTCTGCCTGAGGAACCTGGGCTCAGCTTCGCGCGTGCTGGGCAACGACCCCGGCACATGCGTTTCATCTTCAGCCGCAATGATCATGGACGTACCCCATCTGCTACGTACACAGAAAGTGCACAACCAATTCCATCGGTTCCTCCTGGTGACTATAAATATGGAGACATCTCTGAAATGATCGCTAAGCACCCAGCCTTATTTAAAATTATCATGCCTATCAATGTTGACTGATTTGAGAGTTTGTTAGCGGACCACCCAAACCGTGCGCTTGTCGATTCCATGTGTTATGGATTACGACATGGATTGTGGCCTTTTGCAGACATGGATGACCCCAAGTTGCAACCGGGGGGTGTAGTCGCACGCCTCTCTGGTTTACCCAACCTAGATGATGAATCGATTGAGTTTCTCAGGCAGCAACGAGATGCTGAGATGACTCTGGGTCGATACTCTGAATCTTTCAGTGCATCCTTGTTGCCAGGAATGACGGCACAGCTGGTGTTCACAGTCCCAAAGAAGGGGTCTGCCAAGCTTCGACTCGTAAACGATCACAGTGCAGGGACCAAATCTCTCAACTCCCTCATCCCAGCCGAAGGTGGCTTTGTCAAACTTGACAACCTCTCAGACCTCGCAACCAACATGTGTGCACGAATGAAGGCTAATGGTGGTATTAAGCCATTCTACGTCTGGAAATCTGATGCTTCTCAGGCATATCGGTGTCTTCCCATGCACCCACGCTGGCAAGCCTGCCAGGCCACCTTGATCGATGGCCAGTATCATGTTGATAGGTGTGCAGTTTTTGGCAACCGTGCATCAGGCCGCCTGTGGTGTTTGTTTTTTGGGCTGGTTTGCTGGATTGGCATTCACATCAAGGGAATCCCTGACCTATTGCATTATGTTGATGACGCTTTTTCAGCCAGTTTTTCCCCAGCCGTTAGCTTTTACACACCATACAACCAAAGCATTCCTATCGCACAGGCCGAGTTTTTGCGACTGCTGGATTGGATTGGGGTTCCTCACAAAGATTCTAAGCAACAACACGGCAGAACCATCGAAATAATTGGTTTTGAGGTTGATCTACCATCAATGACAATCCGAATGTCCAAGGAGGCCAAAGCCAAACTAGTTCTGGCAATTCAGGACTTTGTCAACAACCCACCTCAACCATGACAACAAACGCTGCACGCTTGGCTCCGGATCCTCAGTTATGCAAACTGGTCACTCAATGTGTTCCTGCTTCTAAAACCGGCTCTCAATTCATCGTACAACAAATTGGCTGGCAGAAGATTCATGAATGCTTTGATCTTCATTAATAAGAAAGTCAGGGATGATCTGCTCTGGTTTGCACAACAGGTCGAGTCGCTGGAGGGTGTCCGAATGATGGAAACTGAGGAGTGGCATGCTGAAAATGCAGACTTCCAAATTTGGGCAGATGCTTCATCTATCGGTTTGGCTTTCTTTTCCCCAAGCCACAAGATAGCTTACATTGCAGATCCGGTGGTCGACCGAGAACGCAATTTCAATATTTTCTTCAATGAAGCGGTGACAGTACTGGCTGCGCTGGTATGGGCAGCTTCCAACACACCACCGCCAAAGCGCCTGGCTATTCACACCGATTCCACCACTTCGTTCTCGATTTTCAACTCTCTCCATGCACTCGATATTTACAGCCCTATTATTATGGCATCTGTGAAAATCCGCTTAGAGTCCAAAATCGACTTGCGCGTTTTCCATATCGAGGGGAAGAAAAATGTTATTGCCGATGCCCTCTCAAGGCGGGCTTTTGGCATCGCGCGCTCATATATGCCAGATCTCTCAATCAGGGAATTCACGCCTCTGCTGGATATGTCGGGGGCGGCTAAGGTATGAAGCATCAACAAGGCCCATTGACCAAACAGCCCACCCGTGAAAAATGGTCGATGGAACACCTGATGGGTGAATGGGCTCATGCCTTGGGTGCCTCCCTGGAGCGGAGCACCCACAAAACTTACACATCTGCCTTTATGTCCTACGCTACTTTTTGCAATACTCACGACTTCCTGCTAAAGCCATCCGAAAACACTCTCAGTTTCTACATCGTTTACATGTGCCATTACATCCAACCTTCCTCCGTCAAGAGCTACCTGTCAGGGATCTGCACGGAATTGGAAGGCGCCTGGCCAGAGATTCGTACAATCAGGAACTCGCCTTTTGTTTCACGTTGCCTTAGTGGCTGTATGAAGCTGCACAACACCCCCAGCATTCGGAAGAGGGCTCTAATGGAGGAAGACTGTCAGGGACTCGTCCAGGGTCGAGGGGGTCCGGGTATAACGTCCGGGACCGAGAGCCTGGCGGGGGGCGGATCGGGCGTGCGTACTGACAGGCCTGATGTAGGACAGTGGTCCCTGGCCACTTAGACTGAAGTGGAAAGTTGAGAAGAAGGCTACTTCTTCGGTTCCCACTTCAGGTTCGTTTATATACATGCAGCTTGGATCACATGACGGGTGCCACGTCACCCTCGCACACAGCCGTAGCCACCCGGGTGTCTCCGTGGGAGATCCCGAGGGTATCCGGTGCAGGCGCACGTGCTGGGCACAGTGGGAGGTCGCCTGAGGTGCCCGGGCCGGGTACATGGTGGGCGCGCTGCAGATGGGTCAATTGTACATTGATACAGAGAAAGTCGTCCATGTAGAATAAAGGGAGAATAAAGAAGAAGTAAGATAAGGAGAAACTGAGGAGGGGAGGATGAGGGGGGAAGAAGGGAAAGGGGAGGAGGTAAGGGAGGGTGGACCGGCGGGGTACCAGGTCAGGTTGGGCCGGGTGGAGCCGGGTCAGGCGGGTGTGCCCTGACAAAGACCTCATTCTCATCCAAAATAGCTTGCCACAACCTCCTTCCCACGACGACAGATTATTCATCGCAATGACCTTCACTGGCTGGCATTGTTTAATGAGATTGGGGGAACTCGTGGACCCGGACTCCACCGCTTTACGCAATTTCCGAAAGACTATTTGTCGTCGCTCAGTGCACTTTCATAAAGTTCCTCGACCTCACATCTCATTCATCTTGCCTATGCACAAAGCGGATCAGTTGTTTGAGGGATCCACAATCGTTCTAGAGGGGCGCAAGAACCGACTGGACCCATTGTCAGCTTTCGCTCAGTACCTAATATCATGCGACCATAGTTTCCCCCACCTGCCTGAACTCTGGCTAACTGAGAAGGGCACAGTCCCAACACGCTCATGGTTCTTGAATCGTCTGCATGCCATATTGCCAAACGAAAATGTCAGCAGACACTCTCTACGCTCTGGGGGTGCCACTGCGCTTGCACTTGCTGGAACGCCACTGCCTCGTATCCAATCGATTGGGCGCTGGTCTTCTGAAGCCTTCCTCATTTACATCCGCCAAAACCCAATCCTCATCCAAGGAACTTTGTCAGGGACTTCTGCTTTTGACGCCGCTGGTAGAAGATGAACTTCGGTAAGCACACGCATCTTTATCAATGTCTTTACCACCACCATCCACCCCCTCCAACCACCGGAATAGACCTGGGAAGATATGGGTCATGCATGGCTTGCTGCACTTTGCCTAATATACTATGGGCCACTTGGCCGTCTCCTGCTACAACCAGTAACACCTGATTAGTTATTGTTTAATGTTTTCATTTCACAGGACTAATCACGGGGCTACAATCAGACCCAACCCAGCTCATGCTGAGGTTTCCTCCGCTCAATCATATCCTGCCGCTCCTGTCCTAGCACTGCCCACTCCCCTTTGCCACTCCTACCAATCATGAGTTGCCACGCAACCTGACTTCTCAATGAGCCTAGGTTTTTGCCTCAGCCGTACGCTGGGTGTTCTGGCGCAGATGCGCAGAACAGACCACACCAGCAGAGGTACGTACTGAAACTCCCTCACCGCAAGAGTGCTCACAGTCAGCCCAGCCCACACTCATAAAGAGCGCCTGCACCTTTACTTTTCCCCCTCTCTATCACCTAAATTCATGCCACTCTCAGTGAGTAGGGCCGCTTACTGCTTTGTATCCAAACTCTTACTTGTGTATTATCGCTGCTGCCTCTGCTGCTGCCACTCTCTTGACTCCTGGAATCATCCATGCCTGCTCAGTAACTTGGCTTGCTTGTTTTTGCACTTCCCACCACCTCCCCTCTCTCCACCTTCTCATCTTTCCATTTCCACTCCTAATCGAATTCACAAACTGTCTGATTCACCAACTCTTTTCTCTGTCAATTCTCTTGACTTGCACCGTACTGTCTGTTTTCCTTCATCTTTTTTGTCTGCATCTATGTTCCGCTTTTCCTTTTTCCTTTCTGTATTTTGTTATGCTTGTTATGCCTGCTACTCTGTATATGGACAAATGGGTCAACGGGTCATGCATGGCTTGCTGCACTTTGCCTAATATACTATGGGCCACTTGGCCATCTCCCACTACAACCAGTAACACCTGATTAGCCATTACATAATTGTATAATTGTCTTGTAATAAACATGTATATACAAAGTACATACAATAGTGTGGGAAAGTGGAAAGAGCAACTTAGCCTTTCCTCCCATACTGTTGCAAATAATAACTTCATACAAGTTACTTTTGTTGGCAGCCTGAGGAACTAGGCTAACCAGGTGTAAGGGGTTGGTGTAGGTTCCAACCCCAGTTCTCCTCAATCCTCAGGTCGTCAATAAAGTTGAGCTGTATGGAGCTTTAATTATCAATGATGGGGAGGAAAAGGAGTTCTGTTCCTTTTCCCAAATTCCCACATTATTGTATATACATTGTTTAAATTGAGACAAATATACAATATAAGATAATGAATAAAGGGTGGGGTTACCACACAGGAAGTGTAGCGGGTCCGGGCTAGTCAGGGTGTGTGCCCTGACAACCAACCCCTTACATTTACTCTTCTCCACACCACATCGAATACTAAGTTCTGTATAACCTAGATATCAACTGACCTGAGGACTGAAGAGGCACCAAGGTCGGCACCTACACCGACCTTACAGATTTTCACCTGGGTTTCCTGATGTTTTTTACCGTGATTTTCTTCCCACTGTGTACAGCCCACTAAAGCTTAGATTCAGACAAACTAACTGAGGCCTGAGGTGAATGGGGGAATGGAATGTTACCGTCCCCAACCAGTAAGCTCTTCAGCTAGGCTTTCCTTTCCCTCAGTTCTCAAGTCAGAGACTGAGGTGATATCCCTTTTCTTCACTACTTTAACTTTTGTATAACTGACTGTACTCCCTGTGTTATAGCCCATGCATACAGGTAAAGAGTTACAATGTTATTAGTTCTCAAGTCAGAGACTGAGTCCGTGCATACAGCCCTATTAATCTTATCAATCTTTGCAGGACATGCTGAGGGAATGTTCTAGGGTCGGTGTCAAAAATAATCTATACCATAGAGGCTTGGGATTCTGAGGATATCTCAAATGGAGATATTACACAAAGGCACTCAGCGGAAGAACTACATGTAGTGAGCCTTCTAGCGGTTTTTGCAGTAAGTTGCCCTTTGCCACACATTGATTGGAAGCCTAGCATTCAACAGGCTGGTAAACTCATTGTGCTTGGCATAATGATAATATTGTGTCATACCCAACATCAAGTGCTATATAGTACCCGTAAACACAGCGTTCCAAATATGGCAACCCACTTCAGCAGTTCACTCGCAGCCCGTATTCCAACATACACTGAGTCCAAGTCATATACCTACAATCGTCTTAAATGCTTCATAGCATCCCAAAATCACACGCCTGTTGTCCAGAGGCTTCATCCCTTCAGTACGCAGACGCGAAGGACGAGGAACGGGTGGATAACAATAAGTCACAGGGGTTTCCTCCTCAGGATAGGTTCCATAACGAATATGAGTTGACAGAGTTTGGGTGACAGGAATTTTGAAGAATGAAGGGGATGTGCCGACCATGACAATGACAGGCATGACCTGAGAAGTGTATACTCTTAGAAACAGAAAACGGTCCACAAACTCACAAAATGACTTGCCTTTTCTGCTAGAGGAGGGAATCCAATCGCTCCCCTTTGTGCATTATTCTCATTGAAGGCTGCAATTGCCGCTGCTACAAGCTGAGCACGTGCATTGACAGGCTTACGGAGCGCTAACATCTTGTCCTCCTGGACAAGGAGAAGAATATCATTCTGAGTGCCATCGACGACACAGACATCGGTCTTTGCATGTCTGTTTTCGCCACAGATAAGAAGTGGGAGGTCTGCCCGTCTCCGTGCCAGTCGTTCTCGATGAACATAGCCCAGAAGCCTGAAGAGCTCAACAGAAAAGTCAACCACACCAGTTTCACCCTTTCCAGGCTTCATGGCGAGATCCAGATAAGCGATCAGCTCTGCATGGCGATCTTGTTGCATGGCACTACCATCAATATTACTTAGCACCTCTTGATCAACCGATGGTTGCGGTAACTCCTGCAATGTGAAAAGCCATCTTATCGTCTTTGCAAAGAGCTAGAATGAAAGTGATGTTGCCTACCTGTATGCCAAAGAACGCGAGATGGTCCACCTGATTGAGGCTGATGTTATATGTGTCCAGATCACTGAGCGTCCAGTCGCTGGCAGACTTGGCAAAACGATTAAGGTGAGCCGTGGTATGCGGTTTTGTCCGAAACAGTGGAGAACTGGTGGAGATACGATTCAAGCGCATAGACGTCTCCCTTCCGGGCCATTCCAGCCATGAATGAAATGCTGGCACCGTGAGCGACGCGCGAGCGAGGAGGAAGCGAGCGGATCGATGCCAATGGGTGTGCTGCATGATGGGATGAGCGAACCTACAAAACCCCTCTGAGATGTGTCGGAAATCGGGAATCGCCGTTGCAACACGTTACGGTGTTTGATTGATTATAAATACCCGGGAAGGGGTCGAGAAGATATTACAGTAAGGTACTACAACTGGGTATCAAGAACAAGGTACACAGTGCCACCTCAGCCAAAGTACAGATTTGGCGAGAAATACATAACGTTAAGTAGCGGAACACACCAGCTTTCGTGGTAATCAACTGCAACAAGTGCCTTGCTTTGACTGCTCCCTTTCCAGAACCAGTTGGTTGGGGTCATTTGTCCGTGCCGGTTTTGGCCCACGGCTCTGAGAGAATGGCTGATTCATATACATTTACAAGAAGCCAAAACCCGTCCATGACTCACCTTTCGGTCATCGAAAACGCCGGCCTGAATCTTTTTCAGTATGTCCCGCGCGGCTTGGTCAAAAGCTTCATCGACATTGTGTCCTGTCTTTGCACTGGCCTCAAGGAAAAGTAAGCCTTCCTCCTTTGCATATTGACCCGCCTCTTCAGTTGTAACTTCTCTTTTCAGTCTTGATGCATTCCTCGACGCATCATTCGCTTGTGCTGGATCTTCATCGCAAAGATCAATCTTGTTGGCCAGTAAAAGACATGTTAGATTCGGATCTGCATGGGCTCTAATGTCCGCCAGCCACACGCGGCAATTGGTAAAACCTTAAGGATTGCGTCAGTCAAAAGGCGCTTATAACAACCCCAACACTTGCTTTGGCGAGATGTCACGTCAAAAACGAGCAGGGCCCCAGCGGCTCCACGGTAGTAAGACCTTGTTATTGATCTAAATGCCTCCGTTCCAGCAGTATCCCAACCTATGAAGAAGAGTTCTGGGTGAGGATAATACGCCCTATTCATACTCTGCATACACTGTAGTTTGATGGTCTTATTCTCGTCCTCGATTCGTATTAATTTGCTGCCAAACTCTACACCAAGCTGTGCTGGACTGAGTAATCAACGTAGCAACCTTGGCGCGAATCATACCGTAGGATCTTGGGAAGACGTTAGTTAGGCTCTTGCTAAATAAACATCCGGCGGCACTGACCAGGGTTCGCGAGGAAACGTCTATCGGTGAGACGCACCAGCAGGCTGCTCTACATGGATCTAATTCATCCCGGAGCAACGGGTACGAAACTGGGCACTAATCATACCTTCCCAACACCAGCATCCCCAACAATGATATACTTCAGCACATAGTCCCTGCATAACAAACTGTTTGAGTGGCCACAATAGAGAGAAATCAGTAGTGCATACCAGGTTACACTTGACATGAGATATGCAGCACACTTAGGTTGCCTATATAACGTTGACTGTTGCCTTCCTCTCTATTTGCGGTTCTGCGAAGTGGTTCAATATTGCGCCAACGCGGGTCAAGACGCCGAATGTCCCACGTGGTCTGGCGGAACCAACCGTGAGGATAACTCTTCCAATCGACGGACAAAGTAATGGCTTCGTTCTGGAGAGCCCATTTTACGTAAGTCTACCCCTTGTTGGGCAAGAGATCAAAACACCGAGTCCTTGGAATGGTACAGATTCAACAAGTATTCTCAAATTGCGGCCCAAGCGCTGCGCAATTCTCTTAAAGAGAGCGAACGAGTGGCAGCGGAAAGGCGTGGTCTCACTGCTCTAAAATATCAGAAATGGGAGAACGGAAAGGGTGGTGAGCAGGTATGTGAACTTTCGTTGCTTCATTGGCCTGAGCAAACCAACCTTCATGTCTCCGTTCTCACAGACATGGGTCAATCGTCCAGAAACCAGTGCTGGTCATTAGAGAAGACCATTACAGCGAGGGTCGTGTATCATTCATGCATCCTAGATGCATCATTTATATACATTGGTGGACCCACGTCTCTTGCGCTTAAGCTCCTGCGGTCATCACGTCGCGCCGCGCATATTTCCCGTCCATTCAAGAACCCTGGTTCAGTGTTACATCAAATATGAGTAGAATCTGAACTCTGGAATTGATTGCCACAATCGTTCGTCATGCAAATGGACCTTGTGCGTGGACTTGTGAACTGCGCTGGTTTAGTATGAAGTGACACCCAACGCTAAATTGCGTCCCGTACCTCCGGGCCATTGACACAACGATACCCTTGAGAAAGTAGTTAAGCGTCGGCGAACTCAGTGTATATGGCTGTGAACGAAGGTCGGGGTTTGAGTTACCCTTTCGTCCAAAATTTACAGGGCTAGGATCGACATAGGCAGGTTACCAGCCTCTATTGGAATAGAGGATCGATATTTGGCCATAATGTATATCCTTCTGCCTTACTCCCGACTCCCTTGTCATCAAGCCGCTGGGAGATAGATCTAACTAAGAAGTAATCACCATCTCTGACCACGAGATCCGATTGGGGGCCGCATTTTCTCATCTTTACATAAGTCTCATGAACAGCGTTATCCTTCTCTAAGATGCGTGGATACTTATTGTGTCTCACGTTCAACGTGAGAACACGTGATCGATTTGATTCGTTTCCATATATGGTTTCCCTCTTTCCTCAAATTCTCGTTCGGAGACTGAAGTTAGTGACCCAACACTCTTTATTCATGTTTCCCTTATAACTTATGGTGCTGTTACTTAGTTGTTATCTTAAACATATAATCGATTTCCATTCAGTTATTATCTTAGCGGCATTTTAACAAACAAGACATGCGGTCTGTTGTTACGGGTTTCGCGTTGTTGAACGTCTTAGTGCTACTCGCAGCTATCGCATGTACACAGGTCCCCTTGTTAAAGCACATTGGTTTCTTCACAAGAGTTCGCCCCGTCGGGAACACGAACTGCACGATCATCGAAGGTATGATCTAAACCCAGGAAAAGCCGCTTTGCTGAGCTAATCCTGATAGGTCCTGAGTCATGCGAAAGTAAGTAGCCAATACTGGTGTCCACCACCTTGTCTGACAGGTAATGCTCCTCGGTGAATCCCAGAAATCGTTGTCCACCATTCTTCCGGACTTGTCTATATGGCCTGTGGTACCCTTGACACTCGCTGGAAGTGGGCACCGTTCTTCCAAGTCTTCGAGGAGCCTAGGACCAAAGACGTCATAACGATATATGACCCAACAGCCAACACACTTCGTCCCATACGTCATGACCTGAAAGATTTTCGTGGACTCAACGTTCATGGAATGGACGTAGTACAATCATCTGATAACCCAAAAACCCTTTACATTTACTTGGTGAATCACCGTCCACAACTCCGAAGGAACGAGCATGCAGTTGGTGCGGATTCCACAATCGAGCTCTTCAAGACAGAAGCTGGATCCGAACGTATGAAGCATATCAAGACGTTCCATGATCCAAAAATCATCCTGACCCCGAACGATGTCGCCGGCTCACCTGACGGAAAGTCGTTCTACTTTACGAACGATCACTCAAGCCGAGTAGATCCCGTGCGTTTATTTGTCCATATTGGAGTCAATGCATCTGATAGACGATCTTCAGTGGGAGCGCAGAATACAACTCTGGTTTAACCCTTCCAAGAACTCCTTAGGATACTGCCACATTGACAAAGGATGTAAGATAGCTGCTGCTAATCTTCCCTCGCCGAATGGGATCGTTAGGGTATGCCACATTGCTCTCTGCCTTCGCGGCGCTCAGTATAAATATTGCCATCTAATCAGATCAACGATGATACCTACTGGGTCGCTGGGTTTCCCAGTGGAAAGATAACAGTGTTCACGCGAGACGCTGACAACTCGTTAGTCCAAGTAGACGAAATTGACATTGGTAAGATTGGCTTAATGGAGCGTTGTCCCACTCACTAAAGATTTATCGGATAGGCCGACCACTCGACAACTTGACTGTAGATGAGAATGGTGATGTCTGGGTGGCCGGTAAGTATTATTGCTGATCTCAACAGATTATAAATTCTAATTGCCTTGTCACAGCTTTCGTAAGGCTCTTTGAGACAATTAAATATGTGTTGAGCCGAGGAGGTCTCGCGCCCTCTGCTGCATACAAGGTCTCTTTGAATCAAGGTTATGATGCATACTTTGGAAAGAAGTATGCAGTAAAGAAGGTGTGCCCCCTCTCGCTTCCTTCAACTCCCGCTGGGCTGACGGTCCACTAAGGTCTTCGAGGACGATGGCACACTGGCGAACTGGATAACCACTGCCGCTGCGGATTCTCGTCGACGTCAGCTATACTTACATGGTTCGCTTCATCGAATAATATGCAGTCCCATCATATCGCTCACTTCCTTGTCGTCAGGCCTGTTCTCAAAGCACTTGGTTCGTTGTCCATTCTGAAGGCCCAGTGTATTGTAGTATGTAGATATGATGTGAACGGATTACATGTAATGAATGCACTATCTCGAAATTTCCCTCTTGTACTCTCAAAGATCCGCACGTACAACCACGGATATGTTTCATTCCGAGCTTGGCTTCAGACGAGGCTAATCGTCTAATCTCCACCCGTGGACCTGCCTCGTGATCGCATCAAAAAAGACATCTGAACGGTATCGTAGACGTAGAACATTGGTTATCCCCAACATTGCCTTGTCATCTAGTCTTGTTGAGATGAAAGAATATGTACGAGCTATGGACTTTGGATCTCCTGCCCCCAAGCTGTGGAATCTCGCACCTGAAAGGATGTTTCCAGGTATGTTGTGCGGTTGAGGGAATATCGAAGACCGACGGTCTTCATTTCAGCTCCATGCTCGTCCAGGCCGTGCTCCAGTCCTGCTCTTTGAATTCTTTCCGGGCATTCCATTTCCCTATGGTTGGGATCCGCCAGCAGGATTTACTCCAGTGATGCCTGGATAGGTTATGGTGGAACATAGAACCAAGAGGCTGCTGCCCGAATACTTGAGATCGCAATCAACTATTCTTTAAAGGCTCCGTACGCAGACACCCAAAGCAAAGGACGACAATTAAAATCCTCATCGACGCGGATATCGAAGGCACGAGAGCCATGATAACCGGGAAGAATTCCATCCGCTTGGTAGGGCTTGAAAAGGAGTTAATTCAACAATCTCGCTATTGAGCTTCGCCACGAAGTTTGTGATCGATCAAACAATCAGCGTGCACCAAGAAGGCACTTGATACGAGTGATTTTTAGCGAGCCGCCTTATCAAGTCACGCGAATGCCGCACAAGGCGGTGGAGTGCTTTGTCTCTGATCTCAGCATCCTAGAGAACGGCGTTCACTCCAATGTGCACATGAGACGCGATCCATGATAAGGGGAGGCATGTTAACTTCTCTGGTCCAATTTAGGTGTGTACGGCGGGGACTAGGTCAGTAGGTGCATGAAGTTTGATGGGGCTTCAGCACTCCATGCAAAGATCTGCGCCGTCACCGAAACTGATTCTAAAGATGAAACTTGGATAAAGTCAGAGACCCACAGTCCCAGACGACATTTGGAGGTGATGTGTGCCTCCACAACAAGGATATGAATGACGCACTAGCTTGCCGCTAGCAATCTCCGAAGGGACCATTAAAGATTTTACATTTATGCGGTTCAAAGGGGCAGTTCGTTGGCCATTCTCATGGAACCTGAGAGCATTTCGCATGAGGGTGCCAATAAAATCACAGGGGCACGAACGAGATGTCCATTGGACCTAGTCGTAGGTGCACTCTCTACTTCGATCATAGCATATTGATTGTTCCCGCTCGAGGCTTTGCTCTCAGCGTCCCTCTGATATCATTGTATGTGGAAGTTCCCCCGATAAAACGGTGGCTTTGGACTTCTCAACGACCCTCGGTGAGTGATGGAGTCCAGGCAGATGAGGATACACCCTAAGAGGAGAACCCCAAACCAAAGTCATTGGGAACCTGTGCCGCGAATCAAGATTGAAGATCGTCTCAGTCTGGGAACGTGTGGCGTTGAGATTGAAAAATTGTTGAGAGTAGACGAGTCGAGCCATCCTAGTGACCAAACAGATGTCAGGTCTAGTATCATTTCTGTATGACCAAGTAAAAGCGAATATTCAAGCAAACGTCTCAGGCTAGGTCCAGTCTGGCCAAGCGACCCATCTTCCGCTAAGGGAATCACGGATTCAAGCAGAGCACATGAAGTATTCTGTGAAAAATGAAGCAGGAGGCTCGAAGTATAAATTGTGCCATACACTTGTCATATCCATAGAGTTATCGAGCTTCTAACGCAGCCGACACCGAAACGAAAGCCCACGCGAGCTGATAGCACTCATTACGACTGCTCTTCAGCCAAGCATCGGCATGGTGGATGGACGGTGCATCGACCATGCACACTAAGGAGCAAACACTTGGGCGCTGAGGAAATGGAAAAATCAAACATTTTCGGAAGCAACCGGCGTACACGGTCGCAAAACTTTCCCACTCGTTCATCCCAACCCACGATTTGCTGTTGCTGTTTTAGAGGCCCAAATGAACGCCCTTCGTGTCGCTCAAAGGGCGCGTACGCTCAGCAGGGCTACAGCAGGCACCTCCCAACTGCGTCGTGCATCTACCATTTCCGTCGTCTCTCATACTTCCTCGGTAAACGCACTCCCACTTGCGAACGTTGAGGCTCAGTGGGAAAAACTCAGTAAGGAAGAGCAATTAGACGTATATCGTCAGCTGGAGGAGCTACAGAAAAGGGATTGGAAAACTTTGAGTATCGATGAGAAGAAGGCTGGTGAGTTTTCGTTTAGATATTTTCCGATGTGTGTTCTTATTGACATTGTATTATCTTGGATGGTTTGTTCACCTAGCATACTATGTTGCTTTTGGTCCACATGGTCCTCGTACTCCCACTAACCCCCCTGGGACTTCTGTAAAGATCGCCGTATCCGTTGCAGGCGCTATCGCTGCTGCTACCGTGCTTTGGACTTTTTCCAGGGCATATGGTACGAAACTGCTCTTCAGCCTTGCCATCTTTCATTCCTTTCCGAGTCCCCATACTGATGCGCCGCATCCCTCTCCCCAGCTCCTCCTCCACCAAAGACCCTATCGAAAGAATGGCAAGAGGCATCGAACGAATACGCTCGGGAACAGAACATCAATCCTATCGCCGGTAAGCAGCCCTCCATACTCATTGGTCTTAGTCTCTTCACACTCGTTCCCGTACCCTCGACAGGTGTCTCTTCGAAGGAATACAAGGGCACAGGTTTTGTACAGTCGTAAACTTACACTGCTTCGCACGACTTCGAAAAATAATGCTTGTCCTACAATCCGCCACCCCCTTATCTAATATTCATTCTTCCCCAACGGATTCTTAACCAACACTGAGCACGTTCTCAAGTAGCTCAATGACGACACCGTGAGAACCACGGTTAACGTACTTACACTAACCAGCGCTTAAACATCTCGCCAGAGTATATTCAGCAAATATGATATGTTGCCTCAGTGGTCTCTTCCTATCACAGGTATGCGCGCGTATATCGAATTGCGTGTATGTCGTACATCAGTCCATGTCATGCCTAACGTCAAGTGAGCACAGTAAAGCGGAAAAAGGTAAAGGAAATGGGAGTGCGCAAGCATAAGCCAAGGACAAGCCAATACATTGTCGCGCCTAAACAGACCTAATTAGAGCATTATATATGGATCCTGAGTGGCTTAACGTGTGCAGGAAATCAAAGCTCTGGCATCCCAGAGTAACCTCCTTTATTGTCGTCAGAACCTCCACGACTGTGACCATCTGGCCTACTTTGGCGGGTGGCGCCATAAGACAATGAGTTCGAGGGCGAAAGGGCAGTGACATTTAGTATGTCCGGAGTGCGAGGGAAAGTTGATGGGTCGTTCGGACTACGGTCAGTCAAAGTGGGTGTCACAATTGCCGTTAGTCTCCATCACGATAACACTCATTCAATCATTGAGGCACTCACTCGTATAGTTTCAGAGGTAGCACAACTTCCGAACTCTGTTGAGCAGATGTCTCATCCCCAGTACTCACCCCTCGTGTGTTCGCAAACGATGTATCCCCTTCCACCAATTCAGTAGTGGGATAAGGAGTCACATGTGTCGACAGATCCGATCGGGCCACCGCTGGACCAATTCGGCGCAATGATATGTAGACCACTGCAGCGATGAGTCCCAGTCCGACGATGCCTCCAGCGACACCACCAGCGATAGCACCAACGTTGGTGGAACCAGAGCCTCTGTTGCTTGAGGAGGTAGTGGATGGTGTCGTATTGGGGAAGGAGGTGTTGCTATGGGAGGTGAAAGTGGGTACAGCTGAACTCGATGGAGGGAGTGTGGCGGTTGAAGACGGAGCGGGCGTCGACGTTGAATTTGACGCAGTTAATTCAGGTGTATCTATCAATCAGATGCATCACAAGAACAGTCGGTTGTTTTGTGTCGGCCGTCAATGCAACCCATGAATGAAAAACAAAATCTCCCCCTCACCTCCAACAACCTTAGCAAGCTCGGCGTTAAACGTACCCCCCCATTGCGCGGGGTCAGTTAACGCCCAAAACGGAACGGCCGTGCCACCAGGGATGGTGTATGGGTAGTGACCAAGAGCGATCCCATAAGAAGGGCAGTTGAAGCTCCACTCATTCCAGCTGAACGGAAACCACTAAGCATCACACAGAAATAATTGGAAAGAAGGCGTAGTCACTCACTGAAGATAGTTCAGGCTTTGACACGCACCGCAGGCTGACATGAGTTGATACACAGGCGTAGAACACACGCCTGACCAATGGCAGGCGAGTTAGTTGGGCGACTCGAATAACGGCGCACGTACATTGATTTTGAGTTGACGGGTCGCTCGTTGGGCCAATGTAATGTGTGCCATTAGGGAGGGGAGGCACAGAGTACACTTCATTACATAACGGAGTTAGACTGGGCGCTTGTAAGATGGAATAGCGCACACCTCTGGGATAATAGCACACTTCCAACAGATACGCTGCCACCCCACATGGGTTTTGTCTATGTCAGTGCGCAAGCAACATCCAGTCAATGACGAGGAAGAGTGAGATGAAAGGATCAAGAGTTCATACCCCCTGCTGTTCTCCGCCTGTCAAAGACGGAATGTAAAGCATACACATCGAGTGATGCGTGAATGGGACGTTCAGGAAGGAATCAAACGCAGGGACAACCATCAGCAAAAAGAGTCGGGGCCAATTACGACCTTTTTTTTTGCTCACCCATTTCCAATCGGACCCGCAGGTGACGCTCGTCTATAAGCAAAGAGAACAAAGTCTAAGAGAAGGGCCCGATCCATTATGAATTATCCAGGTTAAATACCTACATTCTGGGCCCACGATAAGGGGACAAAGTCCAGGACCCAAATAATGACCGGAAGCGCCCAAGTTGAAAGCCACCGGGGAGACGACCGAGCAAAGGTTTTAACCGCCATCAATAGCCCTCTTCTTGACGACTATCACCAAGGGGAAATAAAAGAAGTGCGAGCTGGGATGGAAACGGGGTCGCCTCAAAGTCCCTCGCTCGGGGGTACTGCTATCGGTGAGTCAACAGAGTGCGAGTTGTGACCATGAAGGGGATTACACCCAAATGCAGTGCAATCAATTGCCATCAGACGTACCCAATTCAAGTCAACCCTATAGCCGATTGTGTGTATGGGAAGCTGACCGCGGCGGTGAAGGCGAGTAACCCCGAGTTCATCTTGTTTACGTCTCAATGATCAACAGTACAATTGCGCTGCCTTGGGGCGCGAGGAACACCGATATGGAGCGTACAAATGCAGTAGCACTTGCATTGCTATACAGTGGTGATCGTGACTCGCGAGTTCACATCAACTCAGGCGGATCTCAGGTCCTCCAACATGACTTTGAACCAACTCCGAGCGGTCGGAGGGGACCGAGTTCGTGGCGGTGGAGGCGCAAATGTCTTATGTCGCGAACTGATATATCATAACGAACCAGCAACTTTGAGATACTGCTTACACTCGCCAATTGATCCCTTCCGCATATTCGCCCGTTCATGACATGCACCACCGTTTCCTCCATTGCATGCATTCTCTGCATGACATTCAACACCAAAAGTAGCAGGTAATTTCCAGGTGGTATCCTCAGTTATTTATTAACGCAGTTGGACTCGTGTCCACCCTGCAAGGACAGTCTGACTTCCCCGCTAACGTCAAGACCTTCAAATCTCCGGCATACCAGAATAACCTCCGTTACTTCCGTCAGAAGGCAGGCGAGAGTGGGCACCATAATTCACCGTGGCCGAATGCGAAAGCCCAGACGCGCCTGCTGGTCCAGGCGTCTTGGGGAAAGTCGATGGATCGTTCGGACTACGGGTGACGAAATGAAATCGCCATAATCATATCACAATCAGTCCGCATGGAATAAAAAGAAAAGCGTGGACTGACTCGTATAGTTTCATCGGAGTTACAATTTCAATACTCTGTTGCACATAACTCCCATTCCCGGCAGTCATCCCTAGACTATTGTTCGCCAGAGATACGGTCTTGCCCCCCGCCTTGCCATTCTCCGAGTCCGGAACCACCCGCGTCGACTCGTCTGACTGGGAACCCATTCTTCGATTGCGCTGGAGGAAGATATAGACGACCGCAGCGATGAGTCCGAGGCCGACGACACCTCCAATGACGCCTCCGGCAATGGCGCCTACATTCGAAGAGCCAGAACCGTAACTTCCTGTGTGGCTTACGGTCGTTGTGGGACGGGCGGATGAAGACGATGTAGAGAAAGATGAGGTAGAGGTCAGAGTAGAGTTTGATGACGTCAACTCAGGTTCATCTTTCATCCGGACAGTCTCATCGCATCATGCAATCTCAGGAGTGAACCAGAGTACTATACCTCCAATAGCTTTGGCACGATCAGCGTTGAAGTTATCGCCCCATATTGCGGGGTCAATTTGGGCCCAGTACTGAACGGCCGTGCCAACAGGAACCGCCTTTGGAAACTGGCCAGCGCCAAACCCGTAACTTGGACAGTAGAACTTCCATTCTTGCCAACTGAGATACGTGAGTATGAGCATCCAGGAATTGAAGGCAAGAGCAGCTACCGACCCAACAAACAACCGACCTTGGCATGCACCGCAGGCAGACATGAGTTGATACACAGGAGTGGAACACACACCTAGAAAAACGGAAGTTTAGTTGATTTGTTGGCTCTGGGTATGGCAGACGTGCACGTACACTCATTTTGAGTCGACGCGTCACCGGTTGGGCCTATGTAGTGCGTGCCGTTGGCGAGGGGATTCACGGAATACGCTTATCAAATTTAATGTCGTCCTGTCTCAGTGCGTGGTAGATGAATCATAACGCACTTGTGGGGTAATAGCACATTTCCATCAGATATGCCGCCACTAGACATGGGTTCTGTCTGTTGAAAGTGAGAGCCGAGCGGGGTGAGGAGCTGTTCTACCTAAAATATCAAGACTCAATGCAACATACCCTTTGCTATTCTGCGCCTATGAACAATGTGATCCGGGTGAGCGCGAGATGTACGATGAGGGATTTGAGCAACAAAGTGCACCCAACAAGGAAAGAATCACAGCGACGAGGAAGGAAACCGTCAGCAAAAGGTCGGTACCTAATCCCATCACCGCTTTCCACTCACCCAATCCCAATCGGGTCCGCAGGTGACGTTCGTCTGCAGAGGGGTGAGGCTTAATGAAGAAAGAGTGCAACCGTTGCAAATTACACGTTGCCAGCTTACATTCTGCGCTTCCGATGGAGCCAAGAAGTTCAGGATCAAGATGGTGACGGACAGCGACGTCCACCAAGAGGGCGACAGGTGAGGTGCAACGATCGTCATGAGGACGGTTGGCGACCGTCACTGTGCGAGAAAGAAATTGGAGGTGGGAGGAAGCGGTGCCAACTCGAAGGATCCAGAGGATAGGTCTAACCGCACTGATGGAAGGCGTTATTGTCGATTCCAGAACTCGAATGGTTGAATAAGGCGACGTACTTGTAGGCTAGCTGGAGAATCTTTGTAGGTCCAGTGAGAAGAGGAAGTTTGAGCTACAGTGAGCCGATGGGAGCCGAATGGATCACATGGTAATACACAACGTCCCGGCCTCAAATATTAAGAATCCAATATTCTGTTCTCAACGCGCGAATTGACAGAAGAATGGGGCACGGCGTGAGTTATTACGACGCCACCTTCCTGATATCCGCAATCGGAATTTCCTTACTGGGATCGCTCTGGCCGGTGATGAAAGCAAGCCCGATATATCATAGTTGGCAAGATTCGCATCTGGTCAGCCACCAATGCATAGAAACGGGAGATCGCGCGATTTGGTTTATGTGGGAAAGAGCAGCGCCGGGCGATAACACTACATGTAAACGGTCCAGCCCCACTTGAGGTTGCCTGCATAGGCATTGCGTCGCGGGTTATCCAGATAGAAGCAAATGTTGGTTTTATTATCCAGGGGTTGCTGGGACCAGGGACTGCTACACCCTGACCTTGCAGTCATACAGGAGCACACGGTAGGTTCAATTGTGAAGTCGAAGCACTGTCTTAATTGCGGCCATCCATGGCCTATGCAGCCGCACAGATGTTAAGACTTCAGAAAATCCATGTACACATCCCAATTGATCCTGCACTTGCACCTGAGCGAATAACGTTAGCCCTCCCGACTGGGTCAGGGTAACAATCACATAACAACATTGATCCTGTCGTTCGAGCAATTGACGAGTGAAAGGAGTGTGATTGACTTGCGGTGATTTGCCCTTCCACAATCCAACAATGCCTTGCGCTGAATACAATATGACAATGAGGAGAAAATGGGCAGGATCACTGCGCTCCCGACTGATTCCCGGCGTTCGTTTTCAGGGCCCCGGGACGAGGGAGAGGTCGCACGTATGATGGATTACGCGGCGGCTCCACACGATCAGATCGTTGGTCGTGGGCTGGTCGATGGGATTCATTTGGTTCTGGATTCTGGGGGACCTGGGGAGTGTCCGGTATCAGTGCTTGTGGGGCGTTCGGTATCGGTACCAGTGGAACAGTGGATTGTGCATTCGTCGGCGGAGTTGAGGGAAACTCAGGAGGGAATGGATGATCGGCACGACTAAAAACGACGACGGTGAGATCACAGGGTAGGCGTACTGAAAGAAACACGCACTTGCTAATGGAAGAAATGCCACGATACACTGCGTAAGGATCATTGCTATGTTGACCCATCCCACTTTCTACAACTGCACTCCCATGGTATACGTCTTGATACTTTGTCCCATCTGGCGGAGGAAAACTTGGAAGTACCAAACTAGGCGGCCGATCTTTCTCGTCCTCCGCGTGTCCACTCGCACCATCAGTTCCTGTATCTTGCTGGTGCTTTTTCAACAGCCAAATCGCAAACGAGGCAAGAAGGGCCAGCACGATGATACCACCAACGACTCCTCCGGCTATGGGGCCGATATGGGTACCGGAACTTCTCTGGGTGCTAGTGTTCAGTGTGGAAATGCTAGTCGTCATCGGTGGTGTTCGCTCAGGCTTATCTAGGGTGCCTTGAATTGACCCGCAACACATTGTATGACGAGCCAAAAATCTCACCTCCTACGAGCTTAGCGATGGTGGCGTTAAATGTATCGTTATGCCGTTTGGGATTTATGAAAGCCCAAGCCGGTACGGCTGTTCCTTCGGGTATCGTTTCGTTGTAGCTGATGAAGGCGCGACATCAGCAGGGCCATCGCCCGGAATGATGACACAGCTTACACTCCGGGAGGGATGGGATGTGAAGCACAAAACAATGTCCAGGCCGAATAAGTTATGGTCTCCCGTCTCTGACATTGCCCACAAGCGGAGAATAGTGTGTACACGACCGAACTACAGCTACCTGCAAACCATCAATGCACAGCACTTCACGGGGGCGAGCATATTGGGCAACTTACAAGCATTCTGTGTGGAAGGATCGCCGGTTGGTCCGATATAATGATGGCCGGTGGGTAGAGGAAGAACGTTATACGCTGGGACGGGATGAGGAAGTGGCAGCTGGGTTGTGTTATTCGACTTACATGTACCGGAGCAGACAGACTGGAGGTAGGCAGCGACCAGGCAGGGATTCTGTCTTCACGACGGGAGTCCATCAGTACACCTTGATCGGATTCAATGAAACGTTCGCGTAGCACCGTAGAGTGTTGTTGGCCTGGTTATGAGACGGGACAAACATTACCACGTTGCGACAGAAACGAGATGATCAGCACTCACCCAGTCCCAACCAGGGGTACATACCACGTTGCTCTGCCACAAGTGATTTATTACTCTACTAATGATATGATAGCATTCCGACACCTACGAACTGCGCAAATGCTGATAGCGCCGATAGGATAAGCCATAGAGCTAGTCTCGATCCCCCGAAACCCGTTGTGAACATTGGCGGAGGACGCAAAGGAGAACAGCAGACCGCTTGGCTGAAGCTCCTAATCAGCGAAGGGGAATCATATCTATATACCATTTGAGCCGCCTAGGGTGCCGGAAGGGGGGAACAAATCGGTGTTCCACAGTGAAATAAGTTCGCATCAAATCGCCAGTATTGGAAGAGGAAACTCCAAATCCCATCACCAAGCACTTCTCGAATTACAAGATGTGATCACGTGAACTTCTTAGTGCGGAGTTGGCCGAACACATCATTCTGCCGATTCAATGGGTTGATGTCGACGGGCGCTCCAGTCTAAATTCGTGAGGCGCTTATTCCATTACCCCGCCACTCGACCCGGACGTGCTGGTCACAATGTCTAAGTTTAGAGCCCCCCTGCTGCAAGCCGAAGCTGACCTGAGAAAGGCTCATGTGTGTCATTCAATTGGCTTCCAACTTGGTTGAGAAACTGTCAACGCTGATGCTTACTCATACATGACGGATCGCCCATGCTTGATCCGGGGAATGCGTAGGAGCGAGAGATCAAGGCAGATGCTCTGAAAGATGTCGGCGATCCTATCTTGGTTAAAGGGAAAGTTATTCGTATGATCGTTCGTGATCAAGATGCTTGGACAACCGAAAGCACGGCTATCGTAAGAAGGATAAATCTTCAGGTAATTACAACTATTTCCCTAGCTATGCGCCATATATTCGCTACTATTCTAAGACAGGGGAAACGCTACAAATCTACCGGGGTCACTCAGCTCCCGTTACTTGCCTTGCATTCTACACGGTTGAGCGGGGTGGGAAGACGTCTGAACTACTTATCACGGGCTCGTGGGATAAGGTCAGCCTCTTTCCCTTCGTTGAGCGTCAGTATAATCTGATCCATTCAATCAATAGACAATTAGAATTTGGGACACAGAAGTCAGTGCAGGCCTATGACCTGTCTTTCTCTCATCTAACTGGCGCAAAGACTAAGGAATGTGTATCCACAACGGACGCTCACGATGATTTCTTGAAATCGATATGCGTCATTCCTTCATTGCGTTTAGTGGCCTCTGGCGCATCGGACAAAAGCATTCGAATGTGGTGAGCCCTACGCACCACCCACATTCTTTATCCGGTGTTATTGATGTGGTTGACTTTACTAGGGATCTCTCCGTGCTTTCTTCCAGCCCCGCATCCCAGCTGCTTCACGTCGGGACGTTCACAGGCCACACACGACCCGTGGAGTGCCTGTCCGTGGACGGAGCCCCACGGTTCGCTGCCGAAGAAGAATACGCAACGATCACTGAAAATCTCCGGCTTTACTCTGCAGACAGCATGGGTGTTATTAAAATTTGGTCCCTAGATATTTCGACGAGGGCTTCTGGCGCCCTTTCAATACGAGGCAATGTCGTAAGAGAGAATAAAGCCCATAGAACGGGGATCAATGACATGGTGGTATCGAATGGCCAAATCTGGACAGGTCCGTAATCAGTCCATCACGGCGAGTTGCCCAAAAATGCCTATCCGTCTGAAATGGGCACCGATATCGTAGGATCAACTGATTATAGTGTTATTATCCAAGGCAACTGCAGTACGGATGACGAACCTTCCCCCACAGTTGAAGTCATGAGCCCCAAAACAATCACTCACCCCTCCCTCGTCCGTGCTGTCTTACCGCTCCCGCTCGTTCACGTCGACGAACCGTACCTCATCTCAGGGTCGGCGGACAAAATCTTCGTTTGGGACATCACTTCCGTCAATCAGAAACACGGCGTTATTGAGAAAGTTGTTGAATTGGACGCTCATTCTCATGATGTTACCGCGATCGAATTCTGGGAGCAAGCCCCAAAAGGAAAATCGGGAATCAGTGAAATTTGGATCGTTACTGCGGGTTTGGATTGCATGGTTCGCCGCTGGCGCCTTAAGGGTATGTGCATACACGTTCTTGATGGCTCTGTGTAGACTCGCCGATGTAATCTTACTTCATCAAGATATCCTGAACGGGACATATCAGCGCCAAGTGGATGCAGCCTTGAAGCTTGATAAATCGAGGAGAACACCACCAAGCGCAACAATTACAGAAGAGGAAGAGCGAGAACTGGAGGAACTAATGAGCTCGGACGATTGAGTGTATCTTCTGATCTCATGGTGGCTAGATCAGCTCGCAGGGTGTCAAGCGTAGACTCACCCCCCCCCCCCACAAGTGCCGTAATCAATGCATCTGACGACTCTGGCAGTGTTTTCGATTGGCCCAACTAACAACTGCGTTGCGTTTCCCTTGTGGATGTCCACGAGTAGCCTAAGCATCCAACCAGTGAAAGTACGCGAAGCGTATAGTGATCCTTCCAAGTCGCCGGAATTCCTTCGGTCATCGCTAGCCAGCTCTGTTTAGTCCGAAATGACTGTCATTGATGATAGATTGCGTTCCATCCCCACACATGAAGTCCTACCACCTTGGGTCTCCTCTGGGCTACTACTCCTGTGATACGTAACATGTCCGTTCTGGCAGTTAGCAATTGCATTTGTGGAAGGTTCGGATTCAACCTGACAAATTCTCACGATGGCGCTCGACTTTCCATAACTGAACAAAAGGCCTCCTTTGCACTCTGCGTCTCCGTGCATCTTGTACACCGAAAGTTCCTCCCCCTTGTTGTTACCTGTCATGTATACGCGGACATCTCAAGCGAAAGATCGATGATCTCCGCTCAGCGATAACCCCGATCGCCGTAGATGCTACCGCTAGCACTCTCCTTTAAAGAGCGCAACCGGAGATGAAGTTAGTGCTGTTCTTGGTCGCGAGTTTGTGGTACGTAGAATCCCTAGGAGAGTAAAAAGGAAATCACTGGTTTTGCGCAAGGCACATGGTAGACGCTGTGGTTGAGGTAGCTGTCGGTATCGAATCCTATGGCTGATCGGGTGGGGCAAGACCATGGGTGGAGAGTGTCACTGAGCCCAAAGACGCGTAGTACTCTATAGCATCACTATCGAATCGATCGAAGGTTCAAAGTAGATGAACGATCTTTCATTTTCTTGCTCGAGAGACTCAGGATGGATCGATAGCTTGGGGGAGAGTTCTTGGCGAAGTGTTGGGGTTATCGTAGGTAAGCTTTCCCCCTATAACACCGCCTCGTAGCTATTCTGATTGTTGGGTCACGCCCCTGAGGATGAATCTGTGTACTAGGGACGATGTTACATGGCATTTCCGGTGCCGGCAAGACTTCCATTGCACTCGCAGAGGGTACGAGAGGGTGCTCACGGTGTCGAATCTCTTTGGATGGGGTAAATGGTTACGGCCCAATTACCTATTAAGTTGCATGATTGAGCTCTCTAGCAAACCATGGACCGGTTCACCGTTGTTCCATTGACTCAGCTCCTCAAAGGCCCAGCTCTATTCGGCAGCCCCATTCTCAACACAATTCAAGAAGCTGGTGGCTTCCCTTTCCTCTGCCTCTTAGCCGCCCAGTGGCGACTATCGTTGAGGTTTCGACGCTCAGTCGAATGCGAGAAAGAGACGTTCAATCCCTTGCCGGCGTTCTTCGGGAAGAAGCGTCCAAAATACTGCCATCCATAGGACTCTGCGTCGCATACTTTGTTTGGACCACCACCGCCTTACCCCTCATGGGGGTAACCGTGAGGGTCCCATGGAACGCTGGTGCAAGTTTTCGTCGGGAGAATGATGAACCTCCCGTATACAAGATCGTAGCACAAGTTTGATTGGGATGATGGGGAATTTGTGCCCGGCTATCCAATTGTGATGGGAGCAATCTGTATCGCACAACTATCACCGTCCGTCGCGACTTGGGATACCATTTTTTCGCCTCTCCTGGAGTCTGATAGTTGACATGGGTTGACCAAACTCGCTCCCCGCCTTTCAGGGGTTGGGGGTCCTCACATACTGATTCGCGCCTTCCTAGTCACGGAAAGATTGATGTAGAATATCAGTCCTGCCGCGACTTGGTTGTAGGTCAAATCAATCCTCAATCAGCCGATCCCTGTCAGGTACGGAGCGAGAGAGAATGTTGTCCCGTCGATGACGTTCTGAATATAGAGATTCAGAACTCCTCACTAGTGCACAGCTAAAATTTAGGCAGAGGGATTATACATCATTGGGAACTTCTCGTTTACTCTATAATGGGCGTAGGGCGGAGTGAAAAATCAGATGCACTGCCATGCATCCCTCCGAATAAGTAACCCAGCACTTCGTTACACAAGCTAACGCACCGCTCGTCGCCTCAATGGAGTTCAGGGGCCACTGCAAGTGCTCTATGAGCCTGTTTGCGCCTTAGTCAGCGCGCCAAGCTGATCAGCTCAGTGCGTCACTCCTAAACATCCGGACAAGCGAGAAGTGCTTTTACGCATGATCAGAATGGAGGTTCGAATTTCGGTCCTGAAAGTGCAACGTTCACAACGCTTTCTATGCAAAAAACCACAATGTGCGCGTTCGCCGCATCAATCCCCTAGCTTTGATATGGGCTTAATTCGTGGATCTTTGATTGACGCAACTGACACGACCAATTCGGCCTTTATTGATTCAGATAACGGGAATATTACTCTGACGTGTACAGTCTAAAGTGGCTCACAAAGAAAATTTTGGATTGGGCCTACGCCTAGTGAGCTAACCGACCGTAACATAGAGACAATCTTTGGTGCTCTACTAGGCAGGTTACCCCAGCCTCTATTAGTATAGTGGTCTACCGACAACGCACCCAAAAGGTACCACCGCGAGGACCATATTTCAGAAATCACACACCAGCAGCTCCGCCCTTTCATGTATCGATGGTCCTCTGATGTACGCTACGACGGGATAGCCGATTCCCATGTCATCTCGAGGCGCAGGTAATAAATCAGGTCCACCACCACCTGATGGCTAGAAGCGAGTCGAGCGTCACACCGTCAACTATTGCTCAATACGGAAGTGAGACATTCGATCGGCACCTCTCCACCATGCAAACGCGCTCGGTGATTTGGCTCCCCATGACAGTACATCTGGTGTTGTAAGAGGGGAATCCTAATAAGGCAATCCGCTAACTCAGCGGCTTCAACTCGCGATCGACCACTTTTACTGACGATTTTTACCACGTCCGTGCGTATTTATACATACACAAAATGTCCGCAAGCGCCGTACACAAGCGCTGCCTAATAAAGGAGTTACTGGAATTATCTGGGGATTTCCTACAACAATCCAGAGCAATCCGGAAGGTTCCGGTCGGTGACTTGCATTTACTTTGGAATTTATGTTTCACGTATGTACAGTGCAAAGTCTAGTGGCGATTCTTTCTCTTGCCATGAGCACGCAGTATCCGGAAGAGCATTCGATGGTATGATAAACCAACGACTTGTGCACGTGGATAAGGCGACATGAGTACTACATGAGTACGGCTTTGGCTGCACATCAAGAAGGCTTCTGGAGTGCGACGTTCGCCCACAAGAAACCTCACATTCACTCGGCGGACGTAACCTCATTTGGACGATTCCTTAGACTACAGAGAGCCGCCAGGTCGTTGTGACTCTATAGCGCTCTTGTTAAATACATATCCTTTTAGGAAGATAACCACTGCTCTGGCGTGAAATTTAGCGATGGAGTGCGTTACACAAATCGAAGATAACAGTATATTCGCGCTTTGTATTCCGCTATTATTACAAAGAAAGGTAATCAGTAGACCACAGCTCAAATAAACACAAATATTCGCATGTAAAAAATTTAGCAGGAATACACCAGGTTGAAATTGGAATGGGATAAGATACGACGACATGTGAGAGAACAAGGGGAATCAGTGGACTGTCATGGTACAAGGGAGAACATGAAAATGAGTTATAGTGCATGCGTGCTGTACCGTGTATATGCATTCAAGTGGAAAAACTTTCATGCTTGCATTACCAGAAACAGGGGACAAAGATGCTCCGAGCGCCATAAATACCTCCTCAAATCTTCCTACGTTTCACGCGGTTTTTTTTGAGCGGTGAGGGAGGGGCAAGATCACGCCGTTCAGGCAAGTTGGGGCCTCTGAGAGAACCATCTATTGATGGGGCTATCAAGTCTGACTTGCGCTTCAATCGGGGCGATCGAGAATGAACAGCAGAAGGCGATGAAGGGGGGTGGCTGGGGGTCGATGCTATAGTTGTAGCCTTGGGTGGAGGGGAAATTGGAGGATCTTGCAGAGCATTTCCAAGTTCAGGAAGGATCGCAACCTGCTGCGCGATTGATTCTGCATCTTGAGCGGTATATTGCGAACTGTCGAATGAACTCCCTTCTGACGCTGCTGTTGTGATCTGATCAAACAACGAATCAATGTCTACCGAAGGCACCTTCCCCTCGCCTTGAACGTCATCAACACTCCCTTTCGTGGGTGTCGTTGAATCATTGGACGCGGGCACGTGGGCTGCAGTGTCGAAAGGCACCGCAAACGGATCACCATTCTCAGTAGCTTCGATATCGCCGTTGGTGAAGATATCCATGCTTGGAGGTGAGGTGTCACCAAATGATGAGGCATTCATACCCAGCGTCTCCATGAATGATTCCAGGTTCATCTGGAGGTTATCCACGTCGGCTTCGACTTCTTGGGCATTTTGATATACTTTTCGAAGACCGTCAGTAGCGGCACTCAGGGCAGGGCTTGCGCTAGCATTTGCGTAGTAAAGCTCGCTGTTAGGGTCACCGGGCTCTATGAACCGGTTAGCGAAATTTTCAACGGGGGATGACGAAGTGTTGAAGTAATCGGATGTGTGGAAGTCGTGCGCATGACTACTGAGATCATCATGAGGATATTCTAGAGACGAGGGCTGGTATTGGCCAAAGGATGAATCTCCGCCATTGTATTGTGGCAATTGAGAAAGAGTGGCGAGAAGGCGTTGTGGAGATGAAGATGAATTGAGGATGGAGGCCAAGGAAGCACGGAAAGCGAGATCATTATCATTAGGGTCATCTTTTGGTGTGTTCTCAGTCGGCTGAGGCGTTAGGGGTTGGATGGGCGTGCTAAGTCCTCGAGTTGGCGTGCGACGGGCAACTTGATTCGGTGACGTCACTGGACGTGTTACGCCTTCTGTCGAAGGCGACGTGAGCTCTTCCACCACACGTGGGGGGGATGCAGTATCATTAGCAACAATGTCAAGTGGGCTATTCGCTTCAGTAAACCGGTCTGAAGAAGACAGAAGGACATCAGGAAAACCGCTCCTTAATCCCAGGGGAGATGAACAACTTACTGCTGTCGGAAAACGCAGGGCTCACCGTGTCCTGAGAGAAGTGTGGCGAAAAACTGGGCGATTTGCTTGCCGGCGTTTGACTATTGCCAATCATCAACAGCCCTTTGTGGCGAGGCCCTGGGCTGCGATGCACAGCTCCCGAGTTCCCTCCCCCTGAGCGAGATGAGCCGCCATGCGATGAAGGGTTCCCAAACACGCTGGCAAGGAACTTGAGAATCCTCTCTATCGTATCCTGCTGCTTTTTGTGCCGTTCCTGGGCTGCCAGAGTCTCTTGCCAAAGGGAATGGTTCGAAACTTGAAGTGCCTGTAGTTCCGAAGTAATGTTTGCTTGATGCATCTTGATTGAGGAAAGCTCTCCCGCAAGCGTTTGAAGCGCCAATGGACCAGCATTAGCGATATTTGCAGTAACATTACCCACGGCGCCTAATGCAGTGTCCCCGCCAGGTCCTGCGTTTGCGCCATCGATAGGAGTTTGGTTATTGCTCGCAGAGGGCCCTTTCTTCCTTTGGATGTTCTCCAGCAGATCCGGTCGATCTCGCTGGAAGTTAGGCTCGGTGAATTGCCACAGCTCAGTCTCGGTCTCATTCTTAAGAACGCCTTGCTGAAGCTGGGGCACTTTATGAAAACCGTACATGTTCAGCTGACGGACGAAGGACGCAAAATTCCCATGCTTGAAAAAACGTGGTAGGACTTCACGACCAAGCTTCTCATGATTTGGAACTAAGGAGCATACGTGAATGGTTGACGGCTGAGTGGGTGTGTCTTGTGTGTGCATCGTGGAGGCGGGAAACTCACCCAAGAAAGATTCCCCTTCGTCTGCCCATCTGATAAGGTCATCAGTCTCGGGGTCAGTGACCATGCTGTAGAGTTTGTTAAGGAACGCAGGCACATTCGTCCTGGTGCGAGAGGGGAGTGCTGGTCCATTTGTCCTCGTGAGAGCAAGGCTGTCACTCATATTCGAATAACCCCACTGCGTAGGATGTTGCGCTGAAGAGGGGCGCTTGGATCGATTCACTTAGTTATCCTCGATGGACCGTCCAGTACGAAGATGCAATGCAATGCCCGGCGGTGACAATTGAATATGAATCGGCAGCTTCCGCCCCCCCAGGTCCATTTCCCCGGTTCCTTGCTGGGACATGCCTGAATCAATCTCTCCCCTTCAGCACCGTTGAGGACCTAGTTTACTCGTTTTTTGCACTATAGTGCTGGTTTTTTTTGGACGCTTCTTGGCATTGTTTATGTTTTAGACTGCCGCTCGATCATATTCTGCTCGTTGCGTTCTGCAGACACATAGCATGCAAACCGGTCCCAATTCCAGCGAGGTCTCCATAAACCCCAATAATTTGAAAATTTCTACGGTGAAAACTAGCCATGAGTTACCAGGCGCGGAGGAACCATCGCTCCTGGCCTATACCAACTCCCCCATCACCACTTCTGTGGATAACTTGGTGTTTCCGATTCCACCGACCCGCACTACTCACCCATACGCACCCAGAGCCCCAGAAAATATTCCTCTATTAGGTCCGGCAATTCATCGTCCGACAACTAATCCGAATGGTAGTGTTGGAGCCAATGCCGGCCACAGAGCACTTCTAAATACCCTCGCTATGGCAGCACATTCTAAGGTGCATGGGCCGCACCCTGGTCCGGGGACTATTCATGGTCGTACTTCTCAGGATTTGCTTTCCAGCGAAGGGCCAGTTCCGATCAAGTTTGACGTTACACCACATAAGTCTCCTATCATACGCCAGTCCAGTGCCCCCCTCGGTTCTGCTTCGAGTAGCCCTCGCCACATAACCCACCTCCAACCCTCCCCTTCGATGCCCTCTAATGACAAGCCGCTGGAAAGAACGGATTTTTCACCGACTGTCCAAACGACCAGGCCTCGTTCACGCTCTTTTTCGGCCATCATTACTGCAATTGAGACGCCTAGGTGTGTTTTTCTTGTCTTCGTTTATCGCAATTCACATTCAATGGTTGGTAGCTATTCTCCTATTGGCAGCTTGTCCCCTGGATTCTTTGAGCATACGAATTCCGTATATCATTCGCATTCATTACCCGCCACACCAAAGCCTGAGGAGCATGAAGCAACTTTCTCAAAATCTACGGCCTCATTCCACGACTCTTCCGCTAAGCCTCTCCCGACACCAAAGTTGCCGAGAAAGCTGTCCAAGCCCACTCCCTTGAATATCACGGCAAGACGAGCCGACTCAGATGACGCGAAGGGACCTGAGCCGGTGTTATCACCTTCATTACAAACCTGGGCAGGCCCTTTGCAGCCCCAGGGCCCTTCTTCAGCTCCAGTAACTGCCCTTGCTTTCGGGCAGTCTGACAGGCCTCTGGATAAACCACGATCCGTGTCGAGCCTCAGGAGGCAAACAAATCGGAGTACTACCGCCTCAGCAGAGCTGAATGTAATCGAGACTGAATCGGCAAGTTCATACCGCGACGATATTCTGGAAGACTACGGTGTCAAACTGAATCCGCATCCCCAGCACCATGATATCTATCCCGTGGATGGCTCCCTTCCATCTGCAACGGCCTCGTCTTCGGGATACCCGTCGTCTCCAAAGTCCCACAATTCACGCACGCAATCCCTCCAATCCAAACTCTCCATGTCGGGTATGCGCCACGGCTCACACACATCCCGTCGCCGAGCCGAACAAGGGCCTAGTCGGATGGACGATGATGACATGTCTGAAGAAGAAGTTGTCGAAGTTGATGACATGGAGTTCACCCTCATACGGCCAACTCTTATCCGTCATCCACCTCCACACCAAGATGAGGAACAGGAACTGATGCATCAACAATCCCCCCTAGTTGACCGTGAAGGCTTCCTCGCTCCTCAAGATTCTGGGACAATTGATCGTGATAGTTCGCGCTCCTATAGTCCAAGCTTGTCTCCCATGTCTCCAACTTCCCCACCGCCAATGTCTCCCTTCCAAGGGTCCTTCCCTCCTTCTCTGATGCCTTCATCCTCAAGCAGTACTACGCGGGAGCCTGCCATCACGATTGCTACCTCGCCAGTCAATGCAAAGTATAGGGAATTGCACAGGCAGCTCGAGTCCAAGTGGTTGTCTGCCATGAACAGCACACCCAGTGCGGAAGCGAAGAAGAGCAGGAAGATCCGGAAGCTCGTCCTTGATGGCATTCCTGCTTCTGTGAGGGGTGTTGTTTGGTAAGCTTCAGGACCTATTTTGATGGCGCTCTTACTCATGCCTCGAATGAATCATTAGGTTGTATCTGACCGACTCAAAAGGGCGTCGGATGCCTGGTTTGTATGAAAAACTTTGTATGCGTGGGAAGGTTGCTGCTTCAGATGAGATATGGATGGATATCCAAAGGTTATTCCATTCCTGCATGCTGATCGAAGTGAATGCATCTTAATTATTCCCTGACAGTCACTTTTCCGGGCATATTCACTTGTGTGATCCCGATGGTCCTTTGATGTCCTTGTTGCAAGCCTATTTTTGTATGGTGCCAGACACGGAGTATAATTACAGTGAGTTTCACCGTCGTTTGCCCTGTCGTAGTTAACGCGTTCGCCTTGCAGGCTTATCCCTGGTAGCCGGTCATGTACTTCTCCAAACTCCGGAAGAGGATGCATTTTGGACATTCGTTGCTTTAATGGATAATCATCTCCGTGGTTATTTCTCATCTGTAGCACGACTGTTGGAAATTGATTCCCTGCTGTTCGAGAAAGCGCTTAACACCTATGACAAGAGCATCGCCGTTCGGTTATTTGTGAGAGTTTTCCTATTCAATTTATGAGACTCTTACCCTTAATCCAAACAGAATACACTCCAAGTTTCCCCACTGGAGCTTTGTCGAAATTGGTGCGAGCGGTATTGTCTCATCCCCCAAATTCTCTAACAGCTCTATCTTCTCCAGGTTTCCCAGTTTATTTTCTGTCACTCTTCCCTCCTCACACTTAAATCGGACCTGGGACGTGATTATGTTATTTGAAAGTCAGTTGTTGCACAGCTATGCGTCGCATTTCATTTAGTGAAGATTGATGGAAACGTCACTTATAGCCGCGCCGATCCTTTTCAGGATAGGTCTGGCGATCATATCCTTCGCCCAGCCTTATATCATGAATCCTGCTCGATGCCGCACAGGTGCGGAGGCGCTTGCATATTTAAGTCAGCCACCTGCAGAGATCTTTCCTCCAGATCCTGATCAAATTGTGCAAACCGCAATGTCTGTTAAACTCAAGGAGGACGAGTTGCGCAAGATGCGTTCAAAGGTGGAACACGAAGTGCGTAAACGATCAGTGTTGCCCAGGACAGCAACCTTCCGATAGTCAATCCATTGTTGTGGGCTTTCCTGACTAAGTTGTTCGTTCCCTGTCTATCATTTCTTCGACTCTTTTGGTTTTGGTGTGTTTGGCTCTGACCTTAGTGGACTTATTGTTCCCACTAAACCTATACCCACAGCATCTATCCTTCTGCTTGTCTTAATATCATGTCAGCATTTTTTATTGGCCTCAGATTTTGTGCTTCGTAGATACCGTGGACGTCTCAACAATTCATTGTTCCCTCACCCGTATGATGCCCTCGTTGAGTCCCCTATTAACCCAAGGCGGTTATTTCCTTTCTGACTGAGAATATGACGTCCGGTCCACGGCAGTGATCAGGACACAAGTAGCACTACAAATCACTCTACCGGTTGATTTAGACTACTATAACAGATGCATCGAATTGCCAATTGGCGGCTGACGCAAGGTCAAGCCCCAAATACAATTAACACAGAAGCGATACCGCTGTGCCACCAAACGCGGATCTCGGTTGCAGTGGAAGACCCGTTATTGTGACGTACTTTATCCAGTAAGCACTTTACCCAGACGCATTTCTTGCGCGCCATGTCTTTGAATTCCTACCACTTGTTGTTGATTGCACGGGCATACGCGAGACCAACCGACGAAAGAATCCTTGCATAGCGTAAAACCGTTTCACTCACGAGAATGTCGAGTGAACCATACGTTGATCTTGTGGTCCGCGGATTTCTCCTTGGCCACATCATCAGCAAGTTGTATCAACATGTCACAAATTTGGCCCCAAGGTTGCTTTCCTCCTTTTACTTCCATGAGACCCCGGCTTCTGCTAGGGAGAATTCTGTCTTCATAGCCTTTGATAACTTACGCTGAAAGTGAGAAGGAATTCATCCGTACGTTGCATTTGTGTGGTCAGATCGGCGACGTAATCAGGATAATCGACGGGCCAGTACTTTTGAATGCGAAAATGGTCCAGGGAACAGAAGGCCTATTTCGAAAAGGATATCAACGCCGTCATGGCGCGACAACAGATAAGTCAAGTGGGTGACAGAGAAAACCAGTTTTATCACAAAACTTCATCTGTGCCCCATTGACGCCCGTGCACTCCGCTTCCCTCTGGTAGGTTCCCATGACTGATATTGGTAAAGATTGAGTAGATGATTTGTTCGAAGCGCCGAACAATTGCAGTAACGCCCGGTTTGGATTCATCGCCACGGAGTTTTTCACTTCCTTTTAGCAGGAGGAGTAGCGGAACGAGCGGCGGAACAAGTATCGAAAAGAACATCATCATCGGCGTGCTTTATCTGCTCTGTCGAAGAGATTAGGGGTAATTGGCATTGGCATTAAAAAGCAATGACGCGAGAGACTCTGAGGTCAGCACTCACGGAAATCTACGGGCCCAAGCTAGACTCCTCCCAATTTTTTTTGAACCACAACAGTCTCACGGGCGGCAGAGCGGCAAATTGACACCAGAGGAGAAGGCGAGAGCGATGCCCGCATTACGAACCACAGCAATGTAAACCAGTCACAAAGTGTTATCCGGGCATAGCTCGCATTTGCCAAGGTGATATGAATGGCAACAAAGAATAAGACAGCGTACGCAGGATGGTCGCCACATTGTAAATGACGTGTGCCACAGATACGCAGGAATGGAGAGGGAGAGGCTTCTGAGGAACCTCGCTAGTAATGGTGGTAAGAAAGAGGTAGCATTCTTCTTGTCCCATTCTCCAGGGGTCAGAGTCGAATTTTGGCTGGAGCGTTGTGGAAGTTGTTGCCTCCGCTGGCGTCGGGGCCGGAGCAGTGGTCTGCGCTGTAGCGGTAGGAGGAGCTTGGGTGGCAGCAGCCTGAGTTTGTGTCGATGCAGTAGTAGTGGAATTGGGATCTTGGGGCTCCACAACCTCCCAGAATTTTTGATCCTTAAGATAGCTCCCACGCGGTCAGACCACAAAAGGCAGTTCTTCCCATTGTCAAGTTTCTCGACTCCGACTCCTTTCATTGGTAGAGTCCATGGTTGCTGGCCACCTGCCTATCCATGGTTCACGTCGGGAGAGATTGCTCTGGGCTCGAAATATTCACTATACGTAGGAACTCAGCCCGATCAAAGTAGAGAACTGTAACTCTTTACCCGTACGTACGAACTTTCACAATCAAGTACAGTAAGTTATATGAACGAACACAAAGCATGAAGAAAAGGGTATCACCTCAGTCTCAAAGTAAAAAACTGAGCATACTCCAAAAATTGTACTGTACTTCCATATACTTCACATCAATACCGTGTTAAAGAAACTAATTGAAAATAAGCGTTGTCAGCTATAGGCAGGACTCCAGCCTATGTCAGCTATGGTAATTCCCAACAGCACATACTTCTGTCGACAAGCACTTCGTGTTGCTATATCTGAACTTTCCGGGAGAGTGATTACTTAGTATGCACGGCTGCTACCTTAGAACACCAATACAGCAATGGCTCAGTTGGGATGGCTGTAGACTCTTAAGATGTAATTGTCGATGTGAACACAAGTGAATACAGAGATGCGGAAAGTAGTGTGCATGTCATAGCTTGTTTATCCAACAGTTATATATGTTGTACATATTTTACTAGCACAGTTGGCGTATGGTGTCTGGGCCGAGCTTTGTTGGCTTGGAATGTCTCAGAAGGAGGAATGTCCCGGTTCGAGTATATGGATCGGATGTGTAGCTTTCGAAGTTCTCGTTAGGGTGTATGAATCTCGTTCTCTGAACACGCTCTTTAGGTCCTATTTGCATGCCCCTCTGTGGGACCTCATTCATGGCTGACTAGGCTGGCTGACAAGGGATAACGCAGTCAGCCATAGACAAGTATATTCGGTGAATGCAGGTCGGATGGATATTTACAAGAGCAGTTTACAGGGGTTGCACAAAGGGGCAAAACGCGGCCAAAATTGTGACGGGAAGCTATAAAGGGTGCACTGAACCACGTCGTGACTCATACGTGCTTAGGCGGTCCCTATACAGAGAAAAGGATTGGGCGCAGTCTCATAAGCAAAGTGCGGATCGATTGAGATCCCGATCCAACTTACCAGCGCCCATACAGTAGCTGACACGCCAGCATCGGTGAAGACACCAAGAGCGTATAATAGCCGGTTATTGAATTTGAGGTTAGCAGCCGACCTCGTCTCAACCGTTCTGGATCGGACGGGGGTCAGAGTGAGCTACGACGATAATGAAGATGTGCGACTGACATAAAGACGTTGTTGCCACCACCGACTTTTCCGAAGCCATTCAGTTGCACGTAACCGTACTTTCGATCGCTCACGAACTCTATGGCCTGTCGAACATCTATACATTTCAACCTCAGTCATGTTTTGGGATACGAAAACTAGGAGTATGACCGACCTAGCCTGAATACATTTTCCTTATCAATGTACCCTTGGTCTCCTCCGATGCCAGGAAGGACTTTGGCAAGGAGCGATCCATTCGGATTCGTCCAGTTCCCTCTGTGGGTCCAAGACACTCAGCAACTCTAGCGCGATGGGTATGGGTATCCCAAAACATACCCGAGTGTCTTGACATTAATTCTACGCCCCTCGGAAGCGTCGATAGGATGAGGTTGATCCATCTCGTAATGGAAGTTCACGTAGCCCCAATGTTCATTCGGGAGGATTGGCGGAACCGCTGGAGAGTTATCCCTCGGGATAGAGGGTTGCAAAACCAGAGCCTGGTTAATCTCCAATGGTGAGTGGGCGGTGGAGATGACTCCGATGTAAGCAAGAACTTGTAGAAGTGCAGCGAAGACCATGCTGTTTGGTGAGGACAGTCAACATGCTCGGCTGGCTTAAATATGTTTGTGTGGATGTTCTCCGAAGGTTGCGAGCGAGTACCCTTCAAAGAACAATTGCAGGGCAGAATCGTAGAATTATTCTCGTCGAGAATCTGATTCTCCTGATGCCACCGCAAAGGGCCTCCACTGCAACCGCCTGCATGCAACCAATATCACCCATTCATTGGGTGCGGCGGGGTTGCCAGTTGAATTGGTCCTGACAGCTGCGAGTTTCTACTATATATAAAGAGCGCGGACACGCTCCACGAATCGCGAACGCCGATTGGTTGGAGCGAGGTCTCACACACTCTCATTGGATGAAGGCGCTTACTTCAGCTCCCATTTGGGATGCACTCGCTTAGTTCATCGCCCCTTTAGGGCTCTTCCTCACCCATTTTGGTTCTGCTTGCTTAGATCATCACCGATTTGGGATCCGGTCGCTTAAGTCATCCAGCCAGCTAGCTTATCTCATCTCCGGAGTTTCCTGACCGGCCCACATGCGTCATCTATCTCATCGATGCGCACTTCTTCACATGCCGCTCCAACCTCTTCACCTGATCTGTTGTCTAGAGTGCGACATCGCAATGATGCGACTATCGATCCTGATTGACGACGACAAGCCCAGCATGGCTAATGTTGTACACTCTGCACTGCTACCTTGAGTCTAACATGGCGAACACACTCCACATCCGTTTGTAAACCGTGCCCATTCTTCGTAACGTTGTACGCTCCCGGAGTACTACACAATTCAAAGGTTTCGCGGAGTGTGAAACATGATGATAAAAGAAACCCCATGTACCCACCTTTTTACGACTGTCTGAGTCGTCGTTGAGGGGCGAGACTCTCATCTGATGTGAGGTCATGTCAAGCCCTGAAAGTGCGCTCTAAAGCCATGGAATGATATAGGTATATACCACGGATGCGAGACAAGTGAACACAACCGGAATGACGCTGGGTGCCCGGCTAGCCAATGAGAGAGCAAGAACGTGCTTCAATGCACTGTTGAGACTCTGTACATTGAACGATTCCAGGGGGTTGTGTCGTCGCAATCATTGGGTAAGTGTGTCGACCAAGGTATAACCTGGTCGTTACGTGACGTGTCAAATGAAAGAAAACACAGTCAAAGTGTCAATGAGCACGGGTGTCACTAATCCAATAGTAGTTGGATGGAAGGTAAAAAACTTGGCCGCATTCATCGTGAACAAATCGATGTCAAAACATACCACTTAGCCGAAAGAAAGCCGATCTGTTCTGAACACGCACAGGAGACTCTCCAACACCGATGAAAGTCAATCGAATTCCATCTCGGATCCGTCATAACTCGAGGTCAAGGCTAAAACCTTAAATCCAATCAGAGAGCGAGAAAACGGTGGTCCAGCTGAAAAAAAGAACACAGCCATAGGTTCGCCTGTTCTTGTAATTACAGCAAGGTGTAAAAACATTGACGCGCCCAATTTGGATGAATGTCCGTGCAGGTCATGTGATGGTCATGTGATTATCCATAAATGGCAAAAAATAAATGATGATCGACTTGCAGTTTCCTAAATAGGATTGATCACATGACCTGATCGACCATTCATCGAAACCTGTTGCGCCATTTGTTTTGCACCTTGTTGTAATCTGTTGAATTGTTACTGAAAAAGTTTTTCCGAGAGTGCACGGCCTATCGCAGCAAGTGCCCAAGATATGTAGTTCAATAGATAGAGCAACTTGCTCTTGTGCCCGCCCCAAATTGGACACAAGCGCATTCAACAATGTCCTCTGAGCATGCGCGGTTCCCTCTCACGTTAGGAACCATATATTGATCGTGCCAGAAGCACGTTAGTGAAACCAGCCACATATGTAGCTTTGTTCTGGACTTCCTTCGCTTCTTACAGACATTTGAACACATACATCGATGAATCTTGCGTCTTGCTATTTCCGGCCAAAGTCAAATGCCTGCCCTCACAGCTAATGGACTACATCGCACGAGATCTGTCGCCTTTATCTTTATTTGACCAAATGGTATTGGGTTTTGTGTCGTGGGTAGTCAAAGTCCCTATTTGGTGTACTTCATAAGGGATGGTGATGAAGACGTTGATCATTCCTCGATTAGCCCTGAATGGCCGCCACCCTTAACATGCGACACACATTTTGAGAAAACGTGTTCCAATCCTACTGTGACGTGACAATATTAGTACGCTCTCCAAACCTTGGACCTTCGAGGTGGATTGCCTAACGCTTTTGATCAATTTCTTCCCACAGTGTTGCAAAACATTCGTCAAGTGATTGACAATTACACGAGTGCAAGGGCAGTCGGGATGTAGAGTGTGCCAAGCTGAGAGCTCGTGTTCGGGATACAGACTTTTGCGCTAATCATTCCTTTTCTGATCAGGAGAGCGCAGTCGACCGTCTTGACACAGAATTCGAAGGGGATCTTCTGCATCATCTCCTCGACATGGAAGAAAGAACCAACCGAAAACGCGAGGGAGAAGAGGTGGGAGATCCATAACGCAGTCCATTGCATGCCACAGATGCTGGTCTGTTCATCCACACCGTGTCTGAAGAAGTCCTCTGTGACTCCATCACTATCATGGTGCTTGAAAGTTCAGGTGGAGGGATGATCAAAGAAGCTCTCACGGTAATTAACCTCCCTTCCATTACCGCTCCATTTCGCCGACACCGTACCGATATACCGTGCATTGTTTCTGGCCCTCCATCCCCTCATCGCGATTCATGAGGTGATGGTTGCAGTCACTTCCCAGTTCTCCTTCAACTTAGAACAGCGGCATGCATTCCATATCATAGTTAATCATGCATCACCGCCTTATGCTCAATGTGGATGGGGGTGCAAGGGCAAGTTAATTAGAGCAATCGACTGCCTTTCTGGTTCCTTGAATCAGGTGCGACGGTTGTGCATTTACAGGGGCAGCAGCACAGAACATCGACGGTTGCACATTGCATTCCACCCTCAATTTGTCTTAGCTGGTCCAGACGAAGTCAAATGGGTCTCAAAGTCGTGCTGAGCTGATTCAGTTTGGGTGTGGAGTGGAACACTTGTTCATCGATGAAGTTTCGATGATTGGGTGTGAGCCATTGGCTGACATCAGTGCAAGCCTTATCGCTCGCGAAAGATGCTTTCGTGGTATCAGCATGATTTTGGCTGGCAATTTCTGCCAACTCTCGCCTCCTAACGAACGGCAGATATGAATGCATTGATGACGAGTTTTTTTTTTTTTCAAAAAAAAGGATTGCGGGAGCTAGCTTGTCCCCAATAAGACTTAGGCAACCGGCCTATTGTTGAGATCGAAGTCGGGACCGGACGAAAATTTTACAATTGGATTGTAAACATCCGCCGGATTGATGGTGACGGACGGTCAAAACGAATTTCATTACGCATCAGGGTGCAAGCGCTGGGGACCCTAGAGCTTTAGAGAAATATCTTTCATCAATCGAAACACTGCGCGTCGTCAGGATCGTGTGGGGTGGAGTAATTGCCGTGGGAAAGCCGAGCGAGCGTTGCTCCGAAAGTAGCAGAAAGATGGTGTTTGCAACGCGTTCAAAGTTGGGCTGCGACGTTGATTGGCACTGAGTGATGTTAAAGATTGAAACCCGCCGTCGGACAACGAAAAAAGATGATTGGCCAATTTTTCTAAGCTAAGGGGGGGACAGGAGAGGGAATAACTGAGGATCAGAGTAGTGGTTGACCGGATCCACCAATGCGATTCGGTAATCGACGCCACATCCGCAGATCCCCGAAACCGAGGACCGAGGCAACGGAGCAGACTAAATTTCTTCAATCCTAGGCACTCCTAGTGTCATCTGCTTTATGTAGTAAAGGCTGGGGTTCCTGCCCTACCCTTATCACCACATTGCAGGCACAAACATGCATGGTGTTGAACGGAATACCAGACTGTCCCTTCAGTCCTCGAAAAGTTCTTTCACGAGGACAAGGGGTCAGAATGACGGGCATCAGATGGAAACTTCGTTCTCCGAGCGATTCCACGGTGAAGTTCAAGATGTGGCGGATAAGCAAGGGAATGAGGGGCCCAATGACAATTGCAGGGGCTTGATGCCTCTCGGAAACGTTGCACCGGTATTGTTCATTGGGCGAGATTGGGTCCAATGATCGAGGCATCGAGGGAATAAACCAGATCCAGATCTACCGCCAATGACAGCTGCAGGAACCTCTTACCTTGCTGCCATTCGATCCAGTTGCTTTCTGTCCGTTTCCCACACGGAAGCCAGAAATACAGGGCGTTAAAAACACCTCGTTCTTTCATATTTGAGGTTGCCCAAACGGACAACCCCTCATTCTGCGGCTTGAATCAACATGTCTCCAACGTACGGTGTTCTGAAAACCTTCTACGATTTCATTATCATAGGAGGTATGTCTTAATGCTACCGGAATCGGACCCAGCGTTCATGGTACATATAGCTGGCAACGCTGGCTCGGTCGTTGCGACGCGTCTATCGGAGAATCGTAATTTCAACGTCCTCGTACTTGAAGCTGGTATACAGTAGGTTGACCAGTATTGGCGGGAATTGTACTCTCAATTTCCAAATAGGGTGCCAAACTCTCCAGGATGGAGTGTTCCCATACTTGCCGCGCAACCAGGTCTTACACAGTACATATGGCCATTCCAGAGCGTACCTCAAGCAGGGCTCATCGACAACAAAACCGTCTCAGTGCTCAGGGGAAAAGTAACTGGCGGGTCGACAAATGTGAGTGCACGATTTTTACCAATTTCCATTGGGCTCGATTATGCTGAATATTTTGATGTAGGCAAACTTCATGACCTATACCCGTGGGTCGTTCGAAGAATATGACCGAATCGCAAATATCACAGGCGATGAGCGCTGGTCATGGAATAAGATCCTCCCATTTTCCCAAAAGGTTTGAACCTGTTGGATTCGGGCTTTTGTTTGGAACTAAGCTCGTTTGACTTTACTACTGTAGTCCGAAACGCTCGTGCCTCCCACCAGTGGTCGTGACTTCCCTGGAGATTATGATCCCAATCTGTATGGAGACACAGGTCCTATACTCCTCTCCCCTCCAAATGACGGAAGTTCAATCTACGAAAGGATTAAACGAGGTACGCCTCGCCTCGGTCAAATTTGTGTCGTATGGATGTTCATACCAGTATTCGACAGCCGCGCAACAGAACCCGAACTTTGGTTGGAACTCAGATGTTAATTCTGGGAAGCCTCTCGGTATAGGCAGAACGATTGCAACCATAGGGACGGGAGTCAGAAGTAGTGCAAACAACTACCTCGAAGCGGCTGGGGCCCGAGAGAACCTGCGTGTAGTAACGAATGCCCAAGTTACCAGGTTATTGTTCTCCGAGGGTGAGGACGAAGAACCTGTTATCACTGGTGTCGAGTTTGCCCAAAGTCCAAATGGCAAGTATTTCTTGGATTACGTCAGGGGATGATTTAGTGAATTGCCGCATAACTTCCAGGCCAAAGGTTCATCGTCAGGGCTTCCAAAGATGTCATCCTTTCTGCTGGATCTATAAAACTCTGCCAAGCTCCTTCTGCTTTCAGGCGTTGGTCCAAAAGAGGACCTCGATAAATTGGGTATCAAAGTGGTTAAAGACCACCCTGAAGTGGGCAAGAACTTGCAGGACCACCCACTAATTTTGAATAATGTAAGTTCTGCAAGCCTGAGCTCTGGTTTCTGGACAAAATAGGCGTTTCCTGACACTTGGGGAAAAAAAAGTGGTATGTCAATTCCAACGAAACAAATGACGATCTCTTCCGTCAACCTCTGAGCGACTGGGCTAAACAACAAGCGCTACTGTACGAGACAAACAAAACCGGTAGGTCACCTCTGACCAGGCTGCCCCCCAGCACCGCACACTAAGCTATCCGTTTAGGTGGTTGGTCAGACACGGTCGGTCAGGTCATTGGGGCCCTCCGTTTGCCAGAAGATGATCCCGTCTTGGAGAAAGCTGGCGATGCTTCCGCAGGTTCAAACACAGCGCATTTTGAAATATTTTCAATTACGGATTCGCGAATCTACGCGTTTCCCGTCCCGAAAATGGGAGTTTCATGACTATCGTGACAGCTGTCTTGTCTCCGAGCTCTAGGGGAGCGTAAAACTGAACTCAACCAATCCTTTTGACGATCCACTAATCGATCCTGAACTCTTCAAAGAGGACATCGATCTTCACATCGCCCTGGCTTGTAAGTGCACTCCACGGCATTCAACCCGGTGTCGTGTCCGCGAAGCTGAGTGTCTGATCATTCCATAGCCGTTAAGCGCGCACGGGAGTTCGCGGCTGCAGATGCTGTCAAGGGTTTCTTTATCGAGGAGTTTGGCGAATTAGCTAAAGCGAAAACGGATGACGAGATTAAACATTATATTCGCAACAATACCGGTACGTTTGCGGTACGGGTTTTGTGATTCGGGATACTGGATTTTTACTTTTTTTCACCTTTTCAGTTGTCTATCGGCATCCTGCTTGTACGTGCTGGTTGATGGGATAGTGAATGGTGGATTTCATTCATTATCTTTTATCAGGTACTCTTTCCCTTTCCGCCTGGAACAGCACCAAGGGCGTGTCAACCCCTGATTTGACCGTGAAGGGGTATTCAAGGGCCTCCGCGTCGTCGATTCTAGCATTTTCGTACGTTAATTTCTTTATACCTTATTTGGGTCACGTTGCTTAGGAGGGCTGCGATGTGTTAGCCACATATACCTGCCGTCTCATCCTCAGGCAGTAGTCTATGCAATCGCAGAGCGCGCTGCGGACATTATTGCAGATGATCACAGACAAGCCCAGACGGGTGGATTCTTGTTTGTCGAAGCTATCGCAAACTGTTAGAGGGGTTCGCTTTCGCATTTTTCGAATAATGTTTTGGCTGCTCGGAGCCTCCCTTGTGCCCGATGCACGCTTAGCTAGGCTGCATCTGTTGTGTGAGTTCCCCACACTGAGCTTCTGCGCCTGGGAAGCATATTGGGCTTCTCCATCACCATTGTGCTCTGGCCTAGCTGTCTTTTCCTTTCTTGACAGCCCCCATTTCTCTATACAGTATCCTCTATTTCTTGTAACAAGTTGCATAATATGCACATGAATTTATCACAGTGGGAAGTAACCCCAGCAATTGGTAATTGGTTGGCCCGGTACCAGCCTGCTAGGTAGCCCCATTAGTAGTTGATGGGCCAACTGCCATCGGAAAGGTCGGAGAAGAGACGTGAGCGATGACCTTGAGGCAAGGCTGAGGTGGTATCCTTAATGAAAGCACGCAACAGAAAGGGTATGGGCCTACGAGGAAGTGTAAACGATCTTGATAGAAGTCGCAGTAAAATTTACTATATACACCATCGAGGCTGGGGTCCTTCCCAGCAGCGAAAGGAGGGACATTGGGCTATAGCACAGGGAATCACTCTATGAGTATGTGTGAAGTGTCCATATGACAATATATCATCAGCCTTTCTGGTGTCTGCATGGCGAAGGGAATGAATCATAACTTGTGGAAGACAACCACCGTTGTGATTACTGGTATGTCTTTC